ACGAGCTCTTAGGCACGAATGGAGGAATTAACTGCACGCTTTTGGGGCGCACTAGCATTACTACTCTTTAGCAATACATTCACAGCGATCCTGTGAGATAACACCTATGCTGCTGAATGCTCCCCGGACACCTTCAGCTTTTCCCGATTACTCTCTAACCTTCCACTCACTCATTCTTCCAATCCTCTATGTAAATCATTGAAAACATCTTGACTTGCCCTTCCTCTCGGATTATCACAGCCGCACAATTCTTCCTGCTTTTACTTTCTTTTAAAATTCACAGTGTATTCATGAACTTATCAAACATTCATTTCGCTTTTCGAGAGTGTTCAAGCCTTTATGAATGTAGCGACAAGAACCACTCGGAGAGAACATTTTCAACAAGCAAGAATGACTGGAAATGTTGACCAGTGAGGAAATGTTTATCGAAAACTTGAATAGTATACTTTATTAACGAGATCTAACACCGGATAATTGCAAGACATAAAACATAACATTTCATAACAACAAAAATCACCTGTAGCAATCAGCTTAAAGTATTCAGTGAGTTGGGAATGAAGTAGTAACGAAAATGAAAATTTGAAAACAGGAATTAATCAACATGCTCAACAACTTTTTCAAATTTCTTCATAGCTTTTGGATTTAACATATCAGAAGTAAGAAGAGAAATTCCCAGCTGATCAGCCTTTGTAAACGGCTGAGCCATGAGAGCTAGCCATCTGAAAGTGATTAATATAAACTAGTTACCAAAAGTAAAAAAAATTATATCAAACATTCATTAAACTGATTTGGATTAACCTTCGAGCCAGCTGCACTGCTTCGTCGATACTTAAATTTATTGATGTCGCCTCCAGATATTCTTGCATCCAGCGGGGAAGTTTACCACGTTTATCTTGACGAGAAAATCTCTGTAAAGCTTCCATGTATGCGGAACCTCATGATCTCGCTGTTCAAAAAAAACTTTTTTCATGAAAAATCAGACCTTATCAGCAAAAATCATAAGTCCATAATCCGTTTTGCCTCTAAGAGCTCGTCCCATACATTGCGCTGTGTGTCGCATTGCATCAAACGTGAGAAAATCGTTCTCCCTGGAAGGCATTCAACACTCAAAGGATGAGATTGGCCTACAATACCACTTGCTTTATTGCAAATTGATCCCGGAGGTACTCCAGTCTCGCTCTCAAAATCCGACTTTCCGTGTATACATAGGGAATCCCCAACATTATTACGCATCGACCTTGAACAAATATTTTTATATGAATAGTTGGCGATGTATAAAGGATCAATCAGTGAGGGAATGTGCATAAAAACCAACCAAGGTGATGACTGAAATCAATTCCTTCCGAGACCTTTCCTCGAGCCACGGAAAAAAGGCATGCCCCTCGACCACTGTCACATGCATCAACATACCTTAACAAAGAAAAATAAGTGTGCTGAAATAGGGGAACGAATTAAATTTCCTCACTTCTCCAAGGCTACAGATGTTTCTAGAGCATCATTCGTTTCTATGAATAGAAGTTTCGACTTCATCAACTCGTCGATCACATGCTGAAAGCGGAAAAAGATGAATTTATATCTTCATCACAACGCGATGATATTATACAGATCTAAGTACAATAGCAGCGAATGAAAAGCATAATTTGAACATACCTGCTCATACCACACAGCTATGACCTGTTCCATGTACACGTAGCTAGTGAAGAATACGACCATTCCATCAGGAACAATAGAGGCCATTTCTAGCACGAGATTACCATAATTTCGAATGACTGCAACATCATTTCTCTGTTCAAAACGAGAAGTCATTGCGACCTGAAAAAGCTCGGGACCTGAGTTCAAGTAAAAGATAAAGCAAAAAATCTTACTGCGATCTCCGCGATCTTCATAATTTTCTGGAAACCTTGTATAAATGTGGTCATAGTAACTCACCTGATCATTTCCTCTTGCTACAACCAATGGACTTAAACATGGACGAGCAAGGGTCATTGTGAGACTTGCCATGACAGCTGGATCAAAGTCCAAAATTTTTGGGTACATTTCTAGCGGTGACAAAGTTCCCGACGTGATCACAACCTACAATGTATCAGTTGTACTAGCAACGAAACTATACTCGAGCATGTGAAACGAACCGTTTGGAAGCGTTCCATAACTGGCCTAATAGCAATTGAGGCATCCATACAGGAAAGAGTTAATTGTGCTGGTTGATTCGATTCACTTGGTTCAATGATCACAGAAAAGCCCTTAAATCTATGAAATAAAAAAAATGCAAAAACAATTACATATAGCATAATCAACAGTTTTTGCAGATATGTTTTGAAAGCTGAGGTCTCAGTCTTATAGGGTTCAAGCACTAGCAAACGAGAAATTATAGAACATACCTTTGAGTATGTGCTCACTAGAGTAGCTAGAATTGCTATCTGGGACAAACACCGGAAATCAGAAGCATCTGCGACCTCAAGCGTTCGTGTCAGGTTATCCAACCGCTCAGCACAGAACCTCAGAGGTTTCCTATCAATGTACATTCTATCTTGGATGTCCTTCACGAACGCAGCTGGACTTTCAAGAAGAACCTGGAAGAAGAAAAAATTGACGAACGTGTCAAGCAAATAAAAATCGGTCTAAAAAAGATTAGTTCCCAAAAAAATGAAAGGTCCGGAACAGCGGTAGACTTGTCTCTTATTTACTAACAATTTGTAAAAAAACTGGATTCTAGTTTCTACCTATGAAGTTAACCAAAAACTGGAATTCTCACTTATACAAGAAGGTTCTCAACCTAGCTTCTTGTTGAGAATTAGAACCCTTACCCGAAAATCGTTTCAAGGATCATCTGCTTGGCTCATAGCATATCCTTTTGATCCTTTCGATTTGAAGATAAATGCGGAAAGTGATGGCCAAGTGCATATTTCTAAGCCAAACCTGAGAGCTTCTCATTCTGTGCCGCACGTATTCAACGACTCTTTTCATGAACAAAACGAAATGTTGGGCCGTTCGAATGGAACCTGGAACTGCTTCATGAAGAATTGCATCCGGCAGAACGGGATTCGCTAACCGTTCATCATTAGCTCTTTCTTGCTCTGATCTGTAAAAAAACATTAATTTTGATCAGAATATTCAGTTCTCATCGACTCAAAACCGGAGATTACCTTCTCAACCCCTCGACTAGCCTCTCGTACTCATTCTGCAGCCGCTCAGAATTTTCTGACTTCATTCGTTGAACCGCTGAATCAAGTCTGGAAGAGTCAATGTAGCATGCAAACAATACAACAACAAATCTTTACAACAACAACGAACTCACTTAACTAGTTCCTGCACAGCTTTTTCCGTATGTTTTTGGGTGATGGTAATGGACATTGATTCGATGCACACATTATCGATGTTGTGAGCTTCGTCAAATACCACACACGATCTGAAAGAATGCTAAATCTGACATGAAGAAATGGGAGACCTTCTCCTTGTCACTACGGTTGTTACAAGCAATATAGGTCGAGCACGCGCACGAAAAAGTACAGAACAGAAACAAGAAGTCAAAAAAAGCAGTAGACAACACAAGAGTAAAATAGCTATAATCGAAACAGCATTACACAAAGTTTTGGATAGTTTTCCTCTCCTGATGACTAGAAAAGGAAAAGTGAAAACGAGGAAATTACATACCTGCGGCTAAAATCCTTGGATATCAATTCAGCGATCTTGGGATCGAGAATATAATGATATGAGTACACCACTATTTGAGCCTTTCTGATTGCTTCTCGGGCGACAAAGTAGGGACAAATATTACGCTCGTGACCAAGTTGTTTGAGATCCGTCTATAACACAATTGTTGAGCGAAGGAAACATTGAGCATGTTGACTTTCTTTTCATCTGCATCAAGCTTATCTACTTTCTCAAGTGCAGAAAGAGAATAACTCACGAGGTTGTATATCCCAGGTGGGAGACTGAACTGTTGCTGAGCGTTAAGAGTCTCGAAAAACGAACAAGCCGGAATGGAGGAGTCAAATTGACGGCGAGCGCGTACAAAGCTAGCAGTCAGCCTTTGACAGCCACCATCCACCAAAAGACCTGATGAAGATTGGATAAAGCACTCGAAACTTCTCTCTCGATTTGAGCAGCGCCCTACACTCGATTTTTTATCAAAGAAGAGTTAGCAGGAGTTGTGGACGATTCAAGCATCAATTGGTGACAGCTTCACTGTCAAACTAATCTGGAAACAACTAGCCGATCCGAGAAATATGCGAGGCTTGGTTTGAGTGAAGAATGAAACTATTTTTGATCCCCGGTAAACATTTGTAGTAACGACACCCATTCCCCTCCTCCAGTAAGCAACATCGCGATGACTTGTTTCGATGAATAGGTTAAACAAGGCTCAAATCCACACGAGTTTAGATTGAGATTTGTTTTAGGAATATGTCAAGAATTGAATGAATGATAGCTTTATCGAGTTAGAGCTTTTTTGTAGAACCTCAAACAATATCAATGTAACCTTAAGCCAGTTTCCACGTACTGAACGCTTAATTATTCAACAGAACCGAATCACCTTGTCTCAACGAAGCTACAGATTCATTTATGCAGAGATTTTTTCGAGCAGACATCGCCACCGCCACAAATTGGGGAGCACTCTGAAGCAATGGTGCTTGATGCAAGGTAGGTATCAAAGACAAACGTTCTCACCGAAGTTTGACGCTCGTAGAATTTGTATAGAGCACGCAACTCTTCCATGCACTTCTCAATCTCGGGAATCGTACGAGAACAGTACACCAGTTTGTCTAAAGTCGGTGAAATGAAGGGAGAAGTAACCCATCATGGTACACAATTCATACCCAAGCGATCAGGAAATCTTCTCATGTACGCAATAACCAAGGAGAGGAGAGATACTGTCTTTCCCGTACCAGAAGGCATTTCTAAAAGGCAATGCCCCTAAAATACTCCAAACGTACTATGTTTGTTTACCTACAACTGGTTGAATTACCTGAGCATCAATCGCTTTCTTCACCTCATGCATATACAACACTTGCTCCGGGTAGACATATTCATATGGGAAAAGTACTTCCAATCCATCAACATCTATCCTGCATTTTAAATATTGAATAACAAATATCCCTATAGCTCAGCTCACCGCTTATTAAGATTTCTCCATCTTATTCACCTCATTTTGAGAGAATTCTTTGCAAGTTGTTCCAGTAGTATACAAATACTAAGTAGTTCACATCCGTAAGTTTAGGAGCATATGCAGTAGTACGGCTTGAAATGAACGGTTGTTCCATCATTTTCATATTTTCAATACTTATGGTACGGTATTCAGGTACGACTTTCGGATTCAAAATCTGTTGTAGGACAACACGAACAACGTATGAAAATGCTTTAAGCTTTTCAAAAATATACATAAGTAAAAGCAACCGGTTATTCGTTTATATACAACAATGTACAAATCTAAAACGAATCTATAAACATCATTAGAGCAGAGGTTATCTAATGACTGGCGATTTGCCAGGTGTCCTACTCGAATCTATAATTGAATAACATAAACACTTTGGCAACCGTGTCCTGCCAAGGCTGATCATTCTTACAAAGCCTAGTTCGACTCGATGCACTCATAGGCATCAAAACTTGGAGTTATACACCTGCGTTTTTATTTCAGCACATACTCGAGACCATTGTTGCAAAAGTGTTTACAACTACTAGAAAGCATTTAAAAATAACCTAGAATATGCCTGCTCCTGAAGATGTTCGATAGAAGAATAAGTAATCTCAAAGAACCTCAAGTAGTTTCGAGAGAGCAGTCATTAGGCACAACAAAGATTGAATCATCAGTATTACAGGCCACATCAAAGAGCCCTTATTACGTGATTAACAACTTACTGAATCTGAACGTAAAAGCTATTCTAACCAAAACCTAATCTCTAAGATCAAGTTTCCTAACTATTCAGTTTGCACCTCCGCATGTTATAGAATCTCGATTCACATACGATGACATCGAAGGTTGAACCTCGTTGACTGATTTCTTTTAAGCCTCTACCTTCTGGTACTTGGGCCGTGGTTTGTTAGCGAAAAGCATGTCGCGGGAATAGTAAAATCCACGATTGACCCAGTGACCGTAAACCGAGAACATCGCAGACTCTGCCTCGTGTCGAATCTGCAAAATAAATAATCCAAAACGCAAATATAGTGAGGGTTCTTAAAACTATTTTTGAACTATTGCAAAAAACCAAGAATTCCACACAAGCCTTATATAAAAATTGCTGACAAGGGAAACGGTTATACTTACGTCTCGATCTCTGAATGGTCGCTTACGAAGAGATTCACGATCGACGAAGGTCTTGAGGTATTTGTATTTTTGGAGCCGACAGATAAACCGCACCATGATAATGGACTGAAATTATCATTGAAGACAAAATGAAGAAAACGGCTTGTTCACAACTTAAGAAAAGAAAATCTTACTTGTCTGAAGAGTTTGCGCATATTCTCTTTCGGATACACTTCAATCGCTGGGTTCATCCATGGCTCCGACAAACACTGCTTAGCAGTAAGTCTTTGAGCGACAGCAACACATAGTAAACCAGATATCTGAAACAGCATAATGGGCATATAACTGGAAGACCCCTNCTTTATCCAAAACAAAAAATGATCCCTCACCATATCCTTTGCTTCCTGTGTAATTGTAGACCACTGTTCCGCACGGAACTCGTATTTGCCTTCTTGAATCATTCGCATCATTAGCAGTTGTCTAAAACAGGTGCTATACCCGCAGCAGCTCCAGATTGTTTTGGAAAAAAGACCTATACCATGGTAAGGTGTACGGAATAAACTCATTTAAGCGCTCAACCTATCACCCAAGCAAATCGATTGCATTCTAGCAACGCTCTTTGATTTGGCATCTGGGTAGCAAAACAAATGCAAGCTACGTTTGCTTCAACAATCAACAGGGCGAGCAGGAACTTCAAAACCGGACAGTACTAGCCAATACAATCAAAAGCAAGAAATATACCTTTTTATACGAGTTTCAGATCCTCGCAACTCTTAAATCAAGCGCCAAATAGTGTTCAGCACATTTATGGAGAAAGATTACTAGGAAAACAAACTTAGAATAGTATAGCTATACGAACAAACAATCAACAACATGCATTCGTTAGGTGTTCCTTGCTTTTCAGAATGAAACTGGTACCACAGGACTGTAAGAGATGAAACCGTTACTGAGTAATTGATTTATAAGGGTAGTGCAGACGCTCGCAGGACACTGACCTCGTCAACGGAGCGAGACTAATGAGCAGATGTGCTAAGCCTCTCCGGGCTTGCCTGTGGAGTGACCTCGCTAGAATGGTTGTCATTACCGCCCACCTCTCTCGTAACTCAAGGATGACAGCAAGGAATTTCATTCTTACAGAGCGTAAATGAGCCATAAAGAGCCAACCGAAAGTTAATTATTGCATAAAGTGAAATATAGTCATAAAAAGGTGCAACTAATTCCCTTGTAAAGAAGCTAGATTTACGTGTAACATATAAAAACACTAGGAGTACCTAGTCTAGCCACGAACAATGTTTCGCAACGTTATATGTATACAATTAGCCCATTGCTGCACCTTCATATAATTCAAGTTACTGAATGAGAAAACTATGGCGTTTTAAACCCTTAATTCCTTTTGTAGACCTCAACTAAACAAATGTAATACTTCCTATGTCAGCACCCTTTATTATGTACCCATCTAGTGAAACTTCGAGCATTCCCATAGCTCGCGTAGCTAACTTGAACAGCCACCTCGTGACCACCCAGCAGAATGATCCAGAACGGTGCGCTGCCGTCTAAGGTCACCTAATTAGGCCACCCAGTGGCGCTTTTCCCTCGTGCACGGATTCTTCTATGCATGCAAGAATATTTCCAAGCGCTGTAACGCCCCTTCCCTACTCATCTACCACGTATCATTCCCATGTTCCTCAGTAGCCTTGCAACCACTGTATAACCATAACCCTACATCTCAGCGGGTTGTTCTTTGTTTTTGCCCTTTCACCTCATTGGTGTTTCCAGAGAGCGTGAAATGCCTTAATTTCTTACATTTACATTTACATTTACACATACAATATTATCAGCAATGTTGAGGAAAGGCCATATTTAGTGCACCAAGTCAACCAAAAAGGCATAGTTGAGAACGCCGGGGGATAAGAGTTAAATGAGCGAGAATTTACTTTTCACATCAAGTACGCCTGATAGGTGACCTAACGCTGAGGGCAACGCTTCCCGATTACCTTTACTCAATCATGTGAAATTATATAATACAAGGGAACAATGTCATTATAGAAGATGTGAGAGCTAGTTACGATAAAATTCGGAAACAGGACAGAGGAAAGCTAAAACTGAAATCTAAAATTTAGCAAGAGCTTAAAAAAATCTTTCAGGATGATGAAGGGAGAGTTCAGCAGTAGCATCAACACAGCTACAGTTTCAAACGGAGAAGCAGCTAACTCCAAACAACTCGGTACATTAACAGCATTCTACTTTTTTNGTACGGAAGAGATGCACATCGCGAAGTGCTTAGAGGGAAAATTTATTTCTACTTGTTACAATTCACTCTCTAACTTCTTTTCCAAATCTCAGAACCGATGGAAAGGTTACTTGAGCCTTAATTTAAGCCAGGTAGGAACAGTGAAAGGTTGCCAATTAAAGCATACACTCTTTGTCAACGTGATTTCAGGCCTTTGCTGCTCATGGCACTATGAGCTCTGGACTTTTCACTTATGCTTTAATGTGAAGGCCTTCAGATTCTAATTTTCATTTCCTTTCCAAATCATTTTGACTGAGTAGGACCCAGTGCTAGGCCGAATGGAGCATTCGATTTAGTAGATAGGAGAGATCAGAGAATCCAATCATTGGAGGAAAAGATGGAAGTGCGAATTTATTTTACGTGTTTACAACCTACAGTCACCAAGGGAGCACGATATACTGGCGATAGTGGCTGCACTAGGAGCACTTCTTGAGCTACCACAAATACGTAGAGGCGAAACCATTAAAATAATGATACTCTAACAGTTAAGATGTCATTTGAAGAAACTTAACTTCGATGATAAAAAGGAGCGTAGCCGGCAAGTAACGTATACATTATAACTCCAAGAGCCCATTCATCGACGGGAAAGGAGTACCCCGGCGCATCCTCGTACATCTGGCATCTCAGTATTTCTGGGGAAAGATAACCGGGTGTTCCGCAGAGTTCTGAAACACAGAAAGTGGTTTTCAATGTAAAGAGGTAATGGTGTCATATGTTTCCGTTTTTTCTGGAAACAAATACCACCTCTCAGAGTTTCGCCTTCCCTGAGTATAGTTGCAAAGCCAAAGTCAGAGATCACTATTCTTTCGTCATCAATGCATAAAATATTTTCGAGTTTCAAGTCCCGATGCACAATGTTTCTACTGTGCATGTACGCTACACCGTCAAACAGTTGACGCATCAGACGGCGCGCCTGAAACGAATAGGCAAAGAAACTTAGAGTCGACAAGCTCTAGAAGACCATGTTAATAACCTTTTTCTCAGAAACTGTTACGGTTTTGTTGAGCTGGTCGAATAATTCTCCTTTTGGTGCCATCTCGAAAACAGCGAAAAGAAATGACGGAGTTGTGTAGAAGTCATGAATAGTAACTGAAGTATAGTGTGTGTATTCAACTTCAAGCAGAAAATACCTTTATTTAACGAAAGCCATACTTATTGACGGGTGATCGGAAATTTGCCGCAATATCTCGATTTCAGAAATAGTCTCCTGTTTGAGTCGACGTGCTTCTTGCTGAATGAATAAATGCATGTAATTTGAGCGAAGCTACCAAGAAAAATAAGAAAGTTTAATTTTGTTTTGCAACAAAGGATACAATCAATGCATCAGTCAAAATCTATAGCGAACTCTAATAATAAGGATTCGGACAAAATTGCATTGCAATATAACTTAAACATTCGTGTTGTTTGCTTTAATGTCTCATTGAAAGAGCGTGATTTTTCTCGGGACAATGGAAAGTATAAATTTATTTAAGAGTCTTAGCGAAGAGATCAGCGCAAACAATACAAAATGAAAGATATGTGTCAAAACTTACCTCAGTCTGTTTTTCTGTTGAGATATCAACTACTTTAACAGCATATACCTGCCCAGTACCCTTCTCAACGCATTTTCGAACAGTGGAAGCCAACCCTCTTCCCAGCACCTGTTACAAAAATGACAGTAATCACTACGGGAATTAGACAAACGTAAAACCTAATCAACAGCACTTCTCAAGTCTTATCGATTGTTATAAATACAAATCATCTTCAATTAAAGTGGGCAAACCTCCTTTGCCTCGTAGATCGAGTAAAATTCACACCCAACATCCGCGTGAGGCGACGTCCTACCGTTTTCTGGTTCATCTAGAACACGAATGTAGTAATGGACTTTTCCAACATAAGAAAAAAAGCAACGTACCATGGTCTTCATAGTCGGAAGACTCAGCACCTAATGACATTAAGAGATCGAGCCTTAATTCAAGAAATTAACAAGAGAAAGGTTTGATTTGTGATGATATAACTGCGTAGAATACGCTGCCAGCATTTGTACGCACACATGTTTATATAGAAGACTTTGTAGCATTAGAAACAAGCAAATGCTTAACGACTGAACATCTAATCACAATAAATTTAACAAATGATGACCTAGATGACTAACTCGGAGGTGTCAAAGGAATCCCCGCAAGCACATGCTCGAGTAACTCCATTTCTCTAAGGGTAAATGACGCGAATCGTCCTAAACAACTGTTTAGACGAGAAAACGTGTCGACCAAGAACACTTGAGCGAAATTCTACGAAATATCTACCCGCTCCATTAAAGCAGGCAGCATAGCGCAGAAGAAAACAGATCAAGTCAAAAAAAANAAAAAAAATCGATAAATTTCCTATGTTTCTTTATAATAATTAAAGATTTTCATCGTCACCAGCCAGACGACTGTATGGTTGGCTGGGTGCAGATGAATAACAAAAAACAATCAAAATAGAACAAACGAGAACATGATGATTACCGTCAACAAATGGTCAGACCACACAGTAGTCAAAGGCATAGTGGTCAGTAACCCAGCATAAAATTTGTAGGAAAATACGCATTCAAAAGCAATAGAAAGCTCCACGCAAGGGTGAAAGTGGTTGCAATCAATTTCACACAAAACTGAGGATTTCAGAGGTGCTAGCAGATGAGCTATTTATGAGGCACACGGCTGCTCGTTATCCACAGGGGTCATCACGGGAGATGATCCTCCACCGAAAATTTGCGCATGAGGAAATAGCGTACGCGCTTGTCGCACGAATGTATCCAACTGAAAGAGAACCGAATTAGTACAAAATTATACTACTCAAGAAAGTCAAGTTTTCTAAATCTACACCATGTGAAAGTGATCATGTAGAAAAAACGATGTTTGAGATAACATTTTTAAATTTCGATTTTCATACCTCCTCTTTGCTCCACAACCCGAACCTTCCGTATTGGATTCCGTTGTAGAGACTAACTACTGTTTTCAATGTTCGTCCAACAAGTTTTTCGTCTTCTAGCGACTTCATGATCCAATTTTTCGTTGTTGACTCGGTACCCGGATCAAGGATGATGTTGCACTCAGCCACTCAAATATGACATTTAATGATTATAAGAACGATAATAATTTACATTTAGCCATTCAAGTACTCATTGTAAAGCGTGATTTGGTAAAGATGGCGTACCTGCTAAACGATGACGTAAGCTATTCACGTTGTCATTCTTGAAATTCTCATTAAGTACAGCAGGATCAGTAATAGTAAATAGCTGAGAAGAAAGTTCTTTCACTAATTCGCCAACAACTCCACTGAGCGTCGCTGTTTCCTCTATAAAATATGCAAACATCGAAGTGACAGTAGTAGTAAAAACCTCTCTTCACAAACTGAAATGATTACCGTATTTCAAGAATTTGATACGGCACACATGGAGATATGGGTCGTTGCTGTCCAACTCAGCAGCTTTTTTCAGACATTTAAGCATAAGCAAAGGCTTTTGCTGAAAAATGAAAACAAGTCTTCACCGAATAAGGGAATTGGACAGCGTATTATCACCACATCAGGCGGTGAGGCAAAGAATCTGGCAACGATACAAGAGTTTAAGGTTTACAACCCAGGTTGACCAAGTCGTGTGCAACGATCGTGGGGCACACTCATAATGATGAGTTAGTGGTAAGATAACTAGAAAGCCGCTGAAGCCTCGTTCAACGCAGCAATTGTTCTCTAATCATCGTAAACGCTCCATCGAAAAAAAAAGGAATGTGCATTACAACTTGGAAGAAAAAAGAACCTTTCTGAGATATACTTCGAATCCAATATTGTATGCAGTGACATGTTTACTTCCAAGCATATGTAAATGTTGAATAAATTTAGCAGCTTCGTCCAGTGGCTTCTGTGTTTTTACCAATGCATCGGCATCGAATTGCATTGCCGGATTAGTGTATTCATCCTTCTATAAGAATTTGGCAGCATTCTTTTCTCGCATAACTCGGTGACAAAAGGTTCAAACCCACTTTTCCTACGTTTTTCTTCTGTTCTTGTTCCCTTTCTTGTTGCTTTTTTTGTTGCTTTTTTAACTTCTTCAACTCAGCAGCTGTGAGACCATCGGCTACCGGACCGGCTCCCGAGAAATCTTGAGGGCGATCGACCATTCGCAGATAAATCTAAGGACCACGTAATTGCTAAGGAAAACATGGGAAAACTGAGCAAAATAAAAAAAAAAAAGGACCACGTAATTGCTAAGGAAAACATGGGAAAACTGAGCAAAATAAAAAAAAAAAAGATGAAATTACTCTTGCAGCAATTTTGGCGGCTTGGTAGTAGAAATCGTGGGAACGGAGGACATCTTCCAGACGTAGCAGCTGTATATACGAGCACAACGTGACCTTTCGCAAACAATATGTATGGAAGTCGTACTGATCTTCGATCATTCCCACAAAGTGCTAAACTTTATAAGTTGCAGTGAAAATTAGTCATACATAAAAACGATGTTTATGTCAGGTTTGAGAGAAGTTGATTATTTATGCTTAAAAGAGGATACTACCTGCTCCATCTGATGTGCCTTCTTCAGTGCATCACCATATCGTCCCTCTGAAAGAAAGCAACGAGCACATTCCAATTCATACCACATGCACTGCATCTCATTCAAAGTTGTTGACGCTCTATCGCCTTCCTGAAAGAAAGACCTAATAAGCAAGGACGATAGGTGAAATTGCGTTCGGAAAACCTGTTATAACCTACAGTACAACGTATTTCAGTGGAAAAATCGTGTGCACGCATGTTGACGCTTAACTTCGATCATTAATAAACAAACCCTGGTAAACTTCGCGCATATCTTCTCTGCACGTTCCCTTTGCCCTGCACGAAGAAGATATTTAGCACATTTGCTGTTAATGTATCGATCCGCAGTGTCTAACGATTGAGCTTCGTCCATGAGCCTAGCAGCCTCAGAATAGTCACCGGCATGCTGGAAAGAGAATGTTAAGCTGCGCTCGAACGTAAACGAAAACACAGCTCAGAAATCCTGGATGGCAGGTGAAAACAGAGAACTAGAACTGGCTTTGCAACCAGAAAAACAGATAGATATGAGCGCTACTAGAGAAGTGCCTGCAACTGGTGACTACGACTGTGGAACTGTCATTGATAAGATTCTAGATACCTCACCTTGTATATCTTCGCCTTGATCATAAGAGTTTCTATCAGAGTTGGTGTATGGGCAAAAGCGCATTCCGCGTACTTCAGAGCCATCGTAATATTTCCCACACGATCGAAATGTTGAGCGATCAACAAGTATAGCCACAGCGCAGATGTTGGAGATTCCATTTCTTCTTCGTCACCTTGTACAAACGATCTAGCTTGTTGTTATGGCATTTATGTAACAAAAAAAAANAAAAAAAAATTGTTAGCTAGCGAACCATGGAATGATCCTCCTCTGTAACCATTATTCTCGACCTTTTTAACATATTCCAGTAATAACTGCTCGATGATAGCCACCTAAACCAGTCCATGAATTACAGCTACTTCAGTGCTTAAACTGGTCCGTAATATCAGTAGCTAACGCAAACCTTTGCTGGACTGTCGTACAATGGTACTAGGTTCTTGAAAAGACTTGGTACGCCCTTCCTCAGCCCCTTGACTATCCAGTCGTCAAGACGGCGACTTAATTCTAAACCTTCCAGAAGGTACAAAGGTTGACGTCGTGGAGCTGCCGCTCGTTTGTATCGCTCAGCAAAACTGTCGTACATTGAAACGCGTTCAGAAACAGGAGCTCCTAGAATTTCTCGGTTAGAATACAAATCTCTGTGTCTTAAACAGCGAGATAAACGGAATGGAAAGGTTTACGCAGCGAGGAAAGGATGAAAACAACTCAATAACCAATCAGAGGGGTGAATAGCTGAAGCGGACTTGTTAAAAAAGCACACCTTCTCCGAGTCCAAGGCATATTTCCAGTTTATCGTAATACCCAATGTTTTCCGGATTTCGGTCGATGAGCTGACGATAGACTTTTTCCGCCTCCTCCATTCGCCCGAGATCCATCAGAATTGCACCTGAGAAGTAGACCCGACATAATACACAAGGCAGCAGTCTGCATGTTCTTCGTTCATGTGCTGCGTCAATTTCATTCAGAACGGCGAAGACGTGAAAAGTTCAGAACAGGCATGTTTTATCGCCCTTCGATAGCTTCGCAAAAAGGGCTTCTTACCTAACAAAGCACCCTCGATGCAACACCCTACACTTGTTTCAAGATACACAAATGTGCTACACAGAGCTTACATGTTACCGCGACCTCAAGCTCTAAAGCCACCAGGTAGTTGGGAAAGCGCAAGCCTTCAAATGTAAATTCGCTCGTTTGCGTAAAGGAACTATGATACAATGAGCCTAACCAAAATCACACTCCCAATAATAAAAACTCCTCTTGGTTACAATTAAAAAAAACGCAATCATTATGATCATGTAGTTCACATAAGACATTTTATTACAGCGAAAATACAAACCTCTTCTTTCCATATAGGTTACTTTATCGACTATAACAGTAGCATTTTCCTCTAGCTTAGACAGAGCCTCCTCCAGCAAGCCAGCTTCGCAGAGAATCATATTTTGATAAAGCACTAGTTCGGAATGTTCGAAGTCATATGATGTGGGCTAGAAAAGCTTGATAAAGGCTAGTATAATAATTATAACAACGAAACCCATGCTCAGGGCATCGACCAACTCAATGGCTATAAACAACGTAGAGGTCAGAGATATTACATACTTTGTTGTTTTGAAGGAATTCTGCTAAAATCGTCAGAGCCTTATCATAATCTTTCAGAAGATGATAAGCAGTTGCATATCCTATCCAAGATACCCGTTGTGTTGGACGGAGTCGTAGCAAGTGGTACCGCGATTCCTGATTAAACAATTTGTGTGCCAACAAAAACGATCAGCTGACAAAATTAAATGATAATACTGTACGAAATTTGCGCTGAACACACCTTATACCCTTCAAAATCTCTCATCTGTATTTGGAGTAAAGCTAAGTCTCGCAGAATTTGCATGTTATCCTTGTCGAGTAGCAGGGCTCTCTTATAGGCCTAAATGGAGCCGTGATACCATGTAAGAACTTTAAAAAGAAAATCGTAACTACCTTGATAGCCTCATCATACTTCTTATCAGAACGCTGCACAAGCCCGTAGACATGCCAACAAACGTACGATTTTAGATCAGCCTTTAAAGAGAAAACGACACAACTTCAAGACAGGAAAAGGGTTAGACAGACTGATTGTTGTTGGAATGCTCGTGCGACCGGCCACCGAATCGCGAACATTTGTCGCTGTTCACGCGCAATTCATGTGAACGGTACTAGGTTACGAAGTAAGTGAACACTTTCACGTCAACGTCATTTGCTGTCTCTTGAAAATCATATTCGAGCTTTTTACAGGATGAAATGTTTTATCTCTACACATGCCTGATAGGCTGATTTTAAATGGCTTAGCCTCATTCTAAGACATTAAATAGAAACAGATATTGTCGATATATTACGTGAATAATTTAGTAATGCAGCTATCATAAAGCATATAAAAGTAAATAGGAGTTGTGAAAACGGAAAATGCGGATGGTAAGGATCTTCCAAAAAAAATTAGTTCAATTCTTGTTTCATGAATTTGTATTTCCACTGAAAGTGAAAGTGTGATATTAAAGAGCTCAAGACTAAAGAATCGGATCAAACCAGTTTTGAAATATTCTGGAATTTATTAGTCCGCTCTAAAGCCGCTAAAGATCACCAAGTTAAAAAAAAACAACAAAGGACAGTCGCTGCAATGTCTCTGCAATCAAGCTAACTAGAAAATACAACTACACATATGAAACTTGACTCCTATCGATACCAGTCTTTCACAACAGGTAGTTGTTTTTCAAATTGTGTGAAGTAACATCAAGAAAAGTAACATAAAACTACTGACCATCAACCCTCTTTTCACGCATTCTTGCGCTTCTTGTTGTTTTCCCATGCAGTTGAGAATGAGACCCTTCATTGCAAGAGTTTCTAAAGAAAATGCATCACTGTACGTGAATATCACTGCTGGAATTCCCTAAACTGACACAAGTCAGCTACAAAACAGACCTCCGTGTTCCGAAAAGTTGGGATTGCTGAGTATTGTTTTGGCATATTTTAATCCGAAGCGATATTTCTTATGTTCATAGGATTTCTGAAAAACAAAAGGATCTGAAGTAAACATAGCAAAAAAGGAGAAACATAAGGGAAAAAGAATGACAAGAATGGCTTACAATGATCTTCTTGAATAAACCTAGTTCTTTCGACGGCAATGGTTGACTACTTGACTGACCCGGGGGAGTCATCCCGTCACCCTAGAACGAGAAAATTTTATTGCAAGAGAAATGACTTTTCAAACTCGAGGTTATGGACTGCGCTTGATGTCCAATTCTTTAATTATTTAAAACTTCAGGTCCGTTGTTTCGTTTTCACAAACTTATTTAAAAAAACACCTACTAATGAGCGTACTAGTTAACCACAGCCATAACAAACATTCCCTTCAGTTCTGTAAGCTGAAGCTGACGTATTACAGAGGAAACAAATGTATATTGCGAAAAGTTCTGATGGCGGGATTACAAAGGAATTCTGGAGAGGCGAAAGCAATCCTGACGGTATAGCTAGCCTTTGCATAAAGTGACCAGCATGTTGCAAATTTGTAAGGTACTGCTTCTGACTCCTTCAACCAATGTGAAACAACGCCAACTTGGCTCATTGCCCTGGCTCGACGTGAAAACGATTCCCACCGGAACAGTAACGGCCTAATTAGAATTTCAACAAAAACCATACTCGCAAATCGAACAACACTAACATTAATCGAACCAAAACCTGAGAAGCTTGAAAACAAGAAATTAAGAGATCATTCTGGATAGAAGCGTATCTTCAAAACCATAAATAAACGACTCATCAAGGTTCAGCAATCTTTGAAATATTGACCACCACATTAAAGGAGGTCCACCCACACAAATAATTTAGCCCTGGAGCACTCTTGCTGAAGAGTGATGCAGTAACTCTACTGCAAGCTCCGGACACTTAATTTCATAAAGCATGAAATATCTTGGTTTCTTTGAGGAACAAACCGCTAATTGGGAGTTGTTAATGCCCAAGGTCAAAGAAAGGCTTTGGCGCGCTCGTCATGCACTGCTTAAGCGATAATCGAAGCGAGGTGACTTGGGTGTCAATAAGGGACGCTAGCCGGCTGTCTGTTTGCCGTTCCCAGTTTTACGTGAGTAAGCTACTGGTCCTGAACACTTCCTTCAGGCCTGTACTTGCATTCGGGTTCGATTTTGAGTGCTGTAGAAAATCGGGTTTGTATCTTATCTAACAAGAGAAGTGGGGAGAAGACATTCTACCCAAACTCGCGCTACATCCTCTCGACTGAGCTTAGCACCGCTGAATCGGCTATGTAGGGGAAGATATCCGGCTGGATACGATCTCGACGGGCTAGATAGAATAAACGATGCTCTAGGCCGCTGCGCAACACTAAATTTGCCATAGGGATGAGAAGTCGTGATAGCTGCTAAGCATAATTGGAGCGTAAAACTAGGATTTAGAAGCACTTCTTGTACTACTTAGGAAGCAAAATTTCAGCGGCTTATTACTTTTACATTGGAATATGAATGGCTGAGGCTGTTTTTAATAAGAAATTGTTTGAAACAGACGATACTGCAACTACTTTTCGGAAGAGTTTCAAAGTAAAAAACATCAACAGAGGAATTCAGAGAGAGAGGGGAGGGGACGGATTGACAGGTCGACAGTGGATAGATGAGTTCCAAATTAATCAATCAGAGCAATGCTAGCAGAACGTGATAATGCACAACCAGGGATATAAACTCCTCCAGGATGTCGATACATTCTTTTTTACATGTATTCTCAATCGTCTCACTTATCCACAGCCCTTTGTAGACTCTTTGGATAAGATCAATGAACCTTTTGAAGAAGCAATTTCTGGGCCTGGAATGAGGGGAAGAATGAAAGTGTTACCAAAGGCGTGTTTGTAAATACCATTAGTGTATTGTAGATTTTGTAAGAAATTCATTTTCATCTTTAAGTCAGTTGTTCAAATCTGTACGAAAGTTGAGAAAAATGAAACTCCCCTATTCCCATGCCTTTCTAAGTTGAACCTTTCACATTACAAAAGCCGAGTAATACCGGGCTGCCATCATATTTATCGTTGTTTTGTCCTGGAATAGCCGTTCCAGGCAGAGGTCTTGAACTAAATGGTGTCGCCGTCAACTAATGCTTGGCCATCTGCCTTTGTCCTTTACTCCACTGTTTTTTGAAGGGCTTTAGCCACGCCTACCTGCTGCAAACAGGCTGTTGCAGACGACTGCTTGATATTCAGGAGTGCTGCTGCTCCTCGAGAGTAACTTGAAAATCAGAAGTATTGTCCACGTTGGGTAGTGAGTGCCCAAGTGGCCTTTATACCAGCATGGCATGTGGATTTGGTACGCACTCAGATCAAGCCAGCTTCCCGTCCCTTCAATGTCCGCTAACTCGAACAGGAACCATTCAAGATGACAACCTTTCGACTCCATCCCCCTGCCCGCCTTTTGCTCAAGTCTTTTAGAGTCTATCTTTTTCTCTGGTAAAAAAAGTAAATCTTTTCACCCTCTCGCAGAAAAATCCGGCTAGCAAACTTAGCAGAACAACTCAAAAAGAAGTTCTGGCTCTATATAAAGTCCCGAACAGATCACGTCGTGCTGCAAGCGGTCTTGGACACTCATAAATAGACAGTTGTCTCGTGGCGCGCATTTCGTTCGCAGATCCAAGTGTCATTCTACTTCGAACCCTTGCAGAGCCCCAAGTAACATCTTTTTCGCGGATACAGCCCGCTCGGACTTGGAGCTACCTAAATATTGAGACGAGCGTCATTGCAACCGTTCTTCCGTCCCACAACTGGAGGATAAGTTGCAGTATGAAAATAACAGTTCTAATAATTTAATCACGTGACTGTAAGCTCCCACTCTTTAACAAAGAACTGGCATACAAAGCACCGAACATTTGAATGCATGTTTGACCCCTCAATGCTCCAACATTATGCCTACCAAGGGATCAAAATTATTTCAATATGGACAAGTCAATTGAAAAAAGCTACCTATGAATATATAGATAAAAACTTAGGGCAAAATAGAGTTTTCAATGATCACAAAAGTATCACAAACAGTATAGCAGCTCTTCGAATATCCTAACGCATAACGCTTCATAGCGTAATCTTATACAGTACATCGAAATGAGTATAAAATGAATTAATGTCAACATAAAATAAATTGTTCTACAAAGCATTCAAAATTTCCAAAAAACGAAACAAATGGCAACAACAGTTAACCCTGGATTCACTATGTGAGCTTGCAACAACCATCATTTGATCCATGACGTCTAGCTAAATTAATTTTGCTGAAGTATTGAGTACCAGAACGTTACACCCGATAATCAAGGAATTCCTTCGCAACGATAAGTGATACTGCTGATTATCTCCCGATCCAACTCTATCATCAAGTAGACAGATGATTTGGAGAAGAATCGTACGTTTCTATAGAGAGCTTAGCTAAATGACACTACTTTTGGGCAACTTTGATTTGTCGCAACTTGAGAGCTCTTAAATGTACTTTCTCCAGATCCGCCTCGTTCAGGTTTAGCTGGCAGACCTAAAATGTCTTTAGAGACTCACAAATATCATCTTGACAACAGTTCCACTTCATATCGGTTACCTTCTCCACCAGGAAATCTTCAGAAGTTATTCTCTTCGGAAGATTTCTGAGGCGTGTCACTATTGCATGCAAATCGGGATATTGCTTGCATTGCTCTTTAGTTCCCAATCCATACTTGAACAAGACAACGGCCACTTTGAACAAAACTTTGCAACCTAGAATAAAGAGCATAAAGACTAGAATCTAATTCATAGATCAATTCCTACCTTCGCAAAGAAACATGTCCCACACTCTAAGGACTGTTGGCCATGGAAGTGTGCGACAGAATATGCACATGAACCATTCTACCATATAAAGCACAGGCTCCACGTTTTGTTTCTTCTGGAACATTATTCAAGATAAGGAAATGAGTTCTCTAAAAGATTACTCCACTCAATCATTCCCAAGAGATTTTGTTGTGAATAATGTAAAGGTGCCTCTTTCCTCACCAGATGCTGATAGCTGGTTCTAGACTTTTCCTTGAGCAACTGTGCAAGTATATCCCCGTCAACCTGCACTGCCTCCTGAAATGTTACCACGTAACATGATTTCATGATAAGCTATCCAACTTGAAATTTACCAGGCCTGGGCTGTAATAATCAGGAAGGTATCTATGGCATATCTGGACAAAACAGTAAAATGCATCTCTGAAAAAGCATAAAATCAAATATAACACTTAGATGGATATTCAGGAAGGAATCGTTGCATTTCATTTGAAGCAACCTATAGGCAAAAGTGAGTAATAATCCATATAAGAACCAAATAAGCAATTAAATACATGCATAAAAACTTCAGATCACCTCAGAGGCATGTGCATCAAGAGGACGGAGGCTACAGGGGCTTGCCCTTGACAGTAGCCTTCCTCAGGATGCAGTACCGTCCAGGCCTTTAGAAGTTGAAACAAATCTTCTTTTCTAAACAGAGCGATTGAAAATTTTGAGAAAAAAAAAACACTTGAAGCAGTGACGTACCCTGCTTCACCGAATTTGCCAACTCTGGAGAACAATTCGTGATTCGGAAATTGCCGATTGAGGTCCTTCTCAATTTCGTCTATCCACTTAGGATCACCAGGTTGACTCAAACATTTCTGAAGTATTCCATTAAGAATATACTTCTTATTAATCTCAATACTATTCGAAGGCAATTCTGGACTATTCATATTATTCCACTGCCTGTCAATACCAATTTCGATCACATATCGCCTTCAATAAAGGAAGTTTTCAATTGGAAGACAATCCACTTCTTTCAATTCCAATCAAACACGCATCGCGAAATCTACATATATAGCACAGCAGAAATCCTCGGAGAGTACACTGTGGTTTACTGATCATGAAATGCTATTGCACTGCAGCCTTTGTGTTTCTCACTGCAGCTTACCTAAGCAGTTTTCACTATCGGACTTGTGCGGCGGCATTCCTGAATCGAAAGTCAGAAGGACGCACATGCCAGTCACGTGCGTTTGTGAGTAAAAGTGTTACATGGGTTGAGTAATAGCGCTCACAGGACGGGTGCACTTAGCCACTTTTACACTGTGGGATGTCTCCATGAATTCAGCAATTATCTTCTGTAGGACGCTCAAACTTGCGGAGTTTTCCACTGTTAGAAAGTCCAAATTGTGCCTATCCTTAACTCGATCCATGGATGGCATCGTCATAGCAAAAATCCATTTCTGCTCCCTTTATCTGCCAAAGTGTGTGACTCCTGTGCCACAGCACAGGTAAAGCCATTCGAGTTTAAGACCACAAAATCTTAAGGCCTCGGATACAGAACCACAGAATCCGACGTCCCGTACAATTCAATTCGGATGTACACAGTGCACGAAGAATGAGACGAAACAACGGCGAAAAGAGAAAATAGCCAACATCTCGCTTCTTTCAATGTTTTTCTAATGCAGTTGGAACGGTGGCAGTTTCTAGGGGCGTTCAATATGATACCATCCCTGTTAGTTAACTCTCGCCATATTGGGGCAACAAAATGCGTGCTAGGGCTACAGCTTCGGGCTATTTCAAAAAACCGGTCCTTGCAGCTTTCGTAAGGGTTGCGGTCTCTCTTCTTCACAGATACAAAAAATAGAAATTATCGTTCACTAGAAAAATGAATTGTTGGAACAAGCTTGGAAAATAGCAGTTTTTATCACAGAAGAAATACTTGCTTCGAAAACTGTCCGGTTAGGAGAGACCTCCATTTGATACATCGCACCGCACAGATATTTCCAGGCCTTTCCTCTCAGTGAAGGAGGAATTCCTTTCCTGCAGCGCTCTCGCACTGTGGAGAACCTATCATACATCCATCAGAGGTTTTCAAGAGTAAACAAAAACGGTACTGAAAGCATGAAGCTCACTTTTCATCCATGAACAAACTCCAATTGTCCAACATGTGTATCCATTTCTTCTCTCGTTTCCTTAGCTTTTCCACACTTATAGTAGATTCCTCCCTTCAGTAATAACACATTCCAACACATGTTCAGCGAAAATAGCAAAAGCGTGAAGCATGTATGAACTCACCTCGTGGGATAAACATCATCCGGTTGCACAAAAAAGCCGTAACGATCTGTTTCAAAAGAGGCTTCTCCCTCTTCTTCTATAGCCTCTTCTAACAGCGTGCTACAAGCTCTACTGATTGTTCGACTTTCGATTTCTGACTGTGTCTGAAGGTATGTTGTAGTCAGAAGAACCGAGGGAATAAATGTAAACAACAACATGGGCTTATTGCAAAGTAGAAAAACTGAAAAAATTACTTCTCCTGGTCTCTCTGGCCTCTCCTTTTTGAATGGTATATCTGCTAGAGTCCCTGGTCCTATGAAAGCCCTTGTTTCGTTGATTATTGGAAATCCTCCGTTATCCGATATGGCGCATGGTTCTGGAGGACAGTTTGTAGTAAGTCTATCCAACATTGCGGGTTCAAGTGATGACGTGCTAGCTATAGTTGATGGATCCATGCCGTCATGAGTTTAGACGAGTTAGAGACATCTCTCCACGAGCTGGAAATAAGAAAACTTTCTTTTCAAAAAAAGATCAACGTTACGAAGAAAATTTCTCTAGCACTTCAGATGAGCGGTTATCCTTATTACATATCAAACAGTGACATGACCATCGCTTTGTTTGCCGACTGCTAGTCCTTTGTTCGTCGATTTATCGAATTGTATGTCTGTCGGTATGGCTGTCCTTGTATAGAACTTTTCAGGCTATGATAAAGTAGCAGCATGGGAAACCCAACACAACTGAGGTCGTAACAGTCAGCACTAAGCTCGAATAGTAGGTTGGTAGGGTGTTAGTGATAGCGCCTATTCAGCATGAAGGGACATCGACAGTATGTCGGATGGATTAGAAAGGTGAACTTCATAATTGTTTGTATGGGTTATACTTTCTATTGAGGTAATCTCTTCACAAGTCTTGCAGAAAGTATAGATTTCTACTTCACAACGATTAACATGATATCCTTGCTCATAATGATTATATCGAGCAGTCAAGGTTCAAAGCAAATAATTAATAAAGTACTACAGAAAGAAGGGAAACGGAGGACGGGATGAAGCAAGACACCCTTGCGAGATGAGGCCGATGAATGAATTCCACCGAATATCCCAGTCCTGTTCCAAAAAGAGTAAGAAAATCATAACTAGCAACACTCTACAAGTCGGGTGCGCTTAGCGAAAATGATAACTAGTTCACCGACGGCATCTACTTTCCAGGGCGTTTCACGCTTTCATATTTGGATGTACACAGAAGACGATTAAAATGATCTCATTACTTTTTCAGATGTTCTACTGGAAATAACCGTGGTTTAAAAAAGGTATCATGGGAAATATAAGACAGCACCAACACAAGGCCTCAACCGAAAATATTATCATCGTCTTATATAAAACACTATCTGCAAATGCAGAATGGACAGCATATTTGCGACAATTTTTCTGACGAAGAGAATTCCAGATGCCGCTTTCGTAGATATGTGTTCTTCCCTGATGGGTGTGCAAGAAGTACATCAAGCTCCATGACGGCTTTGTGGCTTGAGAATGAAATCTGCAAGTAGTTTGTATACGTATTGCAAGTTACCCATTTAGTAGGCTAGGTATGGCCTTGCATAGAATCGAAGAATCTACGAAAATAATTAGTTGAGTCGGTGAACTGAGACTTTTCCTCCGAGGAGATTCGTCCCTCAGGTGGTGCGGATCTATTTTAACTACTCGTTTATAGTTTCACACTGTGGGCTGGTCATGCGGTGGTATTGAATGCCAGTGTTACCCACTCACCACTAGTGCTCCTAACGTTTCCATTCTGATCGTTGAAATCCAAAGTCAGGGAAGCATTTGGCTTCGTAAATTGGTTGGGTCTAGGTTTGTTGCCTTTCTATTGAAGGAATGATAACGACACATTGTGTGAAATACTTCAACGATGAATGAAAAGCCACAACTAGCTTGGATTGATAAACTGTTGTTTTTTTCACACCTGTGCAGGCATTCAAATTAAAAAAAAATTATAGCCTAATTGTTAATGTCCCCAACTACAATTCAATACCGTTTTCTTCGTCATAGACAGTCGCCACAATTGTTTTTCATGTCCGCTAACGAGATATTTTGCGTTTTGTTGTGAGTTGTCATGTGACCTGGCTGGGCATAGTATACACCGTGCCTATCGAACAGGTGTCAGTTTCTATCAACTGCCTGGCATGGTGAAAAGTCATGCAGGGTTCTCTTCCGATGAACAAGTACAAATGTGAGGGATTCTACTAAAAAGGAACTTTCGTGCTAAAAAACGGCTTCCCTCTTTGCTGTGATACGGTTTCTTCTCCAAACAATCTTATACATAGAATGATCCCTTGTCTGGATAGATGATGAGTAATTCTGCGCCCTTCGTGGAATGGAAAGAGAGCTATTAGAGCATGGATGGTTGATAGGTTGATAGTGATTTTCGAGACGAGGAGTTCGTCACGGTTGCCCGCTCCAGTTCTGAGGTTTTTCATATTGACTTCATTGCTGTGTCACACGGTTCAATCTGTTGTCCTCAGACAACAGCGCTAGTATTTTGAGCGTATTGATTGACCTGGGTAAAAAGTAGTGATAATCAAACTAGGTATGCGCGCACATAGTATGTACACATGAAGGTTGCGTTGATTGTACCCTTGTTTTCCTATCCTCGCGGCAAAGTTTGTTCCTTGACTTTCCTCATCATCGCTTCTCTTCTTTAATCTGTCAAGAAGCCTGGTGTTGAACTGATATTCTTCCAGAGCTTCGTGTTTTACTAGGCATTTCTTGGGCATTCGAACAAACATAGTTCTAGGGAAGGGCGAGTCGCGGTCGTGCCCGCTGTGAAGCGTGAGCGTGAAAACGGCACAAGTGATTCTATCCATCTAAATCGGCGGCGTTAGGCTCAAAGACAAACTAAAGTTTGAGTAGAAGCTGATGTGACTAGTATAATTAAGCAATGCAAATCACAAATTGACTAAGTCGACTAGACAGCTACAAAAACATGTGACTGTACTGTATGACTAAGTAAAGTTGTGTTACATCCGAGTTGAAGTAAAAATGCTTTTTCGTCTTCAGGGACTGACTCATTCCTGTCGCCTTACGATGATCGTTTCTTACGAAAAATTTTCGTTCTACTCCCTGAATTCCGTCATTCTCTTTTAATGAGTGGCATACTTTGTTGACTGACTCTTATTTTAGCTCTAGACGCAGTTATGACTCTTGCTGGCGAATCTACCTTTGGAAGTGGATTACCTGATTCATACAGGTCCCACTCATCTGCGATTCGAGAAGGAAAACGGGCATGTGATATGGTTGGTTCTCATTACTCAACCATTTCTTGTTATTCAAGTAATTACCATTATTTTTTTTTCGTCTGTAAAAGGATGGGAAGCGGCTTTAACCACCCTGAAACTGAACAACTAATTCGAATCACAGCATCATAACATTGTTTCTCAGCATTGCAAATGCGTTTCACCAGCTGCTTCTCCCGCGATAACCACTATTTCTGCACAACATTCGAAAATTCACCGATATTTATCAAGAGTGGGAAACTGCGAGCGTAAAATATACTTCCAATCGTTTCCGCTTACCAATTCAGAATGGTATTTTCTTTGTGTGTGTTGCATATTCCCGGAGCGTTTTGCCCTCTTTCAAATCTTATGCAGTTAACACTATCTGTTTTTCCCCACCAAATAATTATAGTTTCGAGATTCAATAGTCAACACTGAATTCGAAGTTTTCATGAGATTGCACGAATTTCCAGGATGATGATGAAGCGCCTAGAGCCAAGAGAAGATTCGAAAAGGTCAACGCGAAGTTCGAAAGATTTAGTATTTCGGGTGACGATGAATCCAATAGGCAACCCGAAATGTGAGTACTTTGAAAATGAAGCTGCGATTTTTCTTATCTCGTTATGATAACTAAGTGAGGTTTCGCAAAACCAACACGAAAACGTTCGAAAAAAGCATAGAGTAGTTAGGTGGGAATCGTATAATATGGCTGGAAAATAATTGACGACGATATTCTACTAGCCAGTTGATACGGATTTTATGACTCTGCCTGATATCAATACGGACTATTTCCCATGTTCTCATGTCATTTCTTTTAGGGATACATCAGACTCCGAAGAAGATGACGATGATTGGCTTGCTAATGACGATTTTACCGGAGACAGCTCTTCAGAAGGGATAGTGGAAGAACCGAATGAGGATTCGAATCAGTTATTTCTCAATGAATGTCTTCAACGCTATATAGAGCGTATGAAGCAAACGAATGACCTTAACTTACCGACAAGGTTAGATAAGTGTAAAACCCTTCATTCGTTCTTTATATGGACCCCTGCAGTTCACATTCGTCGCCAACGAAGACTTTATGAGCAAGCCGGCACGTTTTCTAAACAAGCACGGGAATTGAACAGCAACCTTGCTTCTTAAATACATCACACTAGCTGGAAACGAAAGTTTTTTAAGTCCGAGAATTTCTAATTATGAGTTCTTTTGAGCAATCGTACATTCATTTCGAATTTGACTGTAATTGATAGAAAAAAAAATAAGAAAAAAGCTTGTGGAAGATGCTTCAGAAAGGAGACTTGAACTGAAATGAGTTAGCTGCTCTCTTTTGTCAATCCTCTACCATAATTAAATCCCTCTGTAGGTCTTGGTCTGGGTTTCACTTGAATTCATTTTCTAATTTTAATGCCTATAACTCCTTTTTGATTTGCTGCAGGGGCGTCATTCAAGGCCACGAACTCGTCGTTTGGCGGCCGTTGCCAGTGATTAAAGATCCATTCGATGATCCAACAATGAAGGGACGCATTCAAGAATTGGATCATGCGGACAACTCGTGTGAAGGTAAGAAATTCCCCTAGTTAGATCTTGCGCAGTAGATTTCTGGGCTTGCGACTAGGGCGCACTTTACGAACAAGGCGAACATGAAAGAGTAGCTCGGGGAAATAAAATCAACCATACTTGCCAATCAACTTACAATATGGCTAATGTTCATGGAACAGAGTTCTAGATCACTTTATCTTGTAGAGCTTTGAGAATAGTTCTTTTTTAAGGTTCCACATCTGAATTCACGTTCTTTTTTAAGGTTCCACATCTGAATTCATAGTAGACGGTGGAGATAGCGATTCGGAAACCGATACTATGTCCGCCCAGTTTGATTCTCCACAGCCATATAAGTCACGAATTGAAGAGTTGACCGAACAAGACGATGAATGCATGGAAATGGAGTGTGACTGATGCTACCGTCACTGACCCGTGGACGAGTTGTAGAAATGAGCATGTATATTTTTCTCTGATCTCCCAGCGGTATGGGCTTCATTTAGCAGTTCCTTGGCCCAAATTTTGTGTAAACAAAGCATCTGTGATCAAAATTTCACATCATGTAAGTTAATTTTATAGCTTAATCGATTATGTTGTGAATCATTTCCGAGCTGTGCCTTGAATACCTATAATTATGTTGATTTTTCTGGTAGCTTTGTTGTTATAGATATGCACTTTCACAAAGAGTAAAGTAAGCTTTGCTTGCGATACTCTGTTTCGAGTTTTTTCGGCTGCCAACTGCAGTAGAGTACGGTCTAGATTTTAAGTTTCTATCGCCTTAGCATTGCATTCTTATGAAATAGGGAGTAACCTATCGTTCCATGAAACATATTGCCAGCAACTCTAGATATTCCCGACACGAACTGCCGCAAAGTGCGTTCGCAAATTTACGCGTTGTTGTTTGAGATTGTTTCAATTGTTTGCATCATTGTTTGTTTGGATTCTTGTAAAATGTGTTGCGCTAGGCATTTAAAGCCATGAGTCGTATTCTCTTATAGCGTCATCTGTGTTGTACATGTATCTCTCATTTGAAAACATTCATTTCGAGTTAGGTATTCTACGCTCCATTTACGAATAACACACTTCAGATAAAAAAAGAAAACTATTCACCGTAGCGTTTTTACAGCCTTTTTTCTCCACCAGCCTACTTTCAGTACAAAAATACCTCCAATCCGGAACTGCAGCAATGAAAGCCATGAAATTTCAGATATGGAAGCATGATCATGACATGGCAAACCATTTAAACGTTTGAGCTTTGAACGTCTGGAATGACTCGAATTTCCTTCTTTGGAGAAAATAATGTTACGATAACGAAAGAAAAGCAATAAGTGCTTGTGATTTGTTGCGCCAGCTCAAAAACTTTGACGATGACATCTTTTTTCAATGATAATTCAAATAAAATTTGTAAACAACCCGTAAAAGAAAGTCGTCCTCAACAGCAAAGAACTGATTTGCTTAGTTAGGGGTTCCAAAAAATGCAGGATGATGCAATCACCGGAACACACTTGAAATTTTTTTGGACTTGGCAACCCAAGCATCCCATATTTGATATCGTTACTGGACCTGACTTCGAGCTAACCAAAGAGAACACACCACGAGATCCTCAACGATTTTCTACAAACATGACCCGTGGTGAATTTAGCGTTTTCTTACCAAGAAAAGTTGACTAATTCGCCACTGCTCTGTGGTTTACAAAGACTACAACAGTACTATAAGGCTTCCGGAAGGGGTAGCGAGCTTGACATAAAAAGGGTCATGCAGGTTTGTCAACCCAGATAATTTTATTTCACGCAGCGAATCCGAAATGGTGACGTATGGATTAGAAGAATAGGTACGCTTCCAGGGGATGGGGGTGAGCCACGTCAACATTACTTTCGTCGTATCCTACCTAGGGTGCTACTCCCCTTCCCCTTTCCAAAATGCATTTACCCATTAGGGCCTACCCACCTGCCCAGGAGTGAAAGCTCACGCCCTGCCTGCAGACCCGGCAACTGCGCCGGCCCGGGAACACGAGCCGTGCACGACGTTTGATTTTCGCGCGCCGCCGCGGTCGGATCTATACGCGTCGCGTCCGCTCGCACCTGCGTTGATCACCATCTGTGGCCTCACCTGCCCATGTTTTGGCTCCTCATTCCCACACAGCCGAGGCTCGTCATCTGATTTCGTAGCTCTCGTCTTACCCTCTTCTAAGACTGCGTGGTTCATTGACTAGGCGCTCTGCCAGCAGTCTTTCTCGATCAATACTGCCTCCATCAATACAATCCAGACTGCTCTTTTGATGTTTTAATCTTCATTGTTTGTGTGCACTTTTATCGCTTCTCTTCCTTACTTATTCATAGTTTCTTTTCGTTGTGCAATGTTTTTTGCATGAGAGTATTGCGTAATTGCGGTGACCAGTCAAGGTTGTTTTAGGGCGTTCTGTGACTGAGCACTGGTTCCATTCAGGGTGCTGCAGGTCACTTTTGCTTGGAGTTGGTATCCTTGCACCGGCAGGTATGGTATAATGTCTGTGAATTTGTTACTGATGTTGTGTAAGAACGTAGGTTACGTTATCTAGTTGGCATTATGATACAATTTTCAGGCCATCGTTCCAATTTTGCGGTTGTGCCTCATTACTTACTTTAAAGCTAGTTTTGTTTATTTGTGATTAGCACTGTTCGAGAATGGTCCTTTTCAGAAAGTGCCCCTAAACGAAGGCACAGCGTGATGGCGAACGTAATCACAAACAAGGATTTCATAGTCGCAACCAAGTACAAGCTCATTCGGAAGATCGGGTCAGGCTCTTTTGGCGATATCTATGTATCGATCAACGTCACAAATGGAGAAGAGGTCGCAATAAAACTTGAGAGCAATAGGGTAAGCTTCAAGTTTGTTCAGAATTATTTATGTGTTTCATTCCTTTAACTACCGCTTTAAGGCTCGTCATCCACAACTCCTATATGAGTCAAAGGTGTATCGCATTCTTCAAGGCGGTGTTGGAATACCTCATATTCGTTGGTAGGTCTTCTAGATTTATTCGAGGAGCAGTTCGTTCTACAATAAACTGGCGTTGGCGTTGTGTTGAGGAAAAGTTTCATACGATCCTAGAGGATGGGACAGTGAAGGAAGTTATTCAATATATTTCCTCATTGATGGATTATTCGCGTTGAGTTGAAGTTTGCTTTTGGCGAGCGGGGTTTTCTGCGAACTATCTAGAAAATTGAGATAAAATTCCATTAATCATTTACCATCTTGTTTATTCATTGAAAATAACGATCATGTGAAACTATTCAAAATCACTTTATCATTGTTAGGTGCTTATAACTTGTCTTGCTTTCTTAAAAAAGACATCTGCATAATGAAATTGTTGGGGCTGAAACAAAACCAGTAGTCGAAGGGTATAATCTATGTTGAGCTCAGCTAGTTTGGCCGATATTCTATTCTGAATTGCTCTGGTGTAGTAGACAAGTTCAGAGGGAAAAGACTTAACATGCATTACTCAGCTAAACAGTTTTTTTTAAATCCACGATGTTGCCGGAGGTCAAAATTTCTTGTTTTCAAAGGCAGGTCTTCTTTTGAAACATTCTGCACCTATCACAACTTTTAGGTCTTGAAGACTTGATTTCAAGCACCCTAAATACAGACGTCAAATTGAATATTCTGTTTATTGCGCAGCAAAGGAGGTGTGGGAGATTACTAGAGATTTCCTACCTTATGGCGAATACCTCTATTTTAACAGTTGTTAACATTGTAGAGTTCTAGCAAGATACGGAAGCATGCAAACTTATATGCGATTAGAAATCGCTAAAATGAGACGAAATCAGTGCTGTTTTTAATACAAACAAATGTGGCAATCATGTTCTTGACATGAGTATGAAAACATAAATGACGCCAAAAAGTTGAGGAAATTGTCTTAAATCTGCATAATTCGAATTTTTCGGATGGATGCTTGGATGTAAAAGACACTATAAGCGGCAACATGAGGACAAATGAAGTCCAACAAATTAAATCGCTACCCTATTCTAAATCTTTGAGAGCTGTATGACCATTGCCATCCGCGTTTGACCATAGCGCCTCTGAACAACAGATCACAAACCAACTAAAGAAAGACACAGCATTACTCCGAATTCTATACAGTTTTCACTTTCTGAGTGAACAGGATTAATGTTCGCCATATAAAAAAGGTCCTTTTCGAAGTATGAGGGAAAAATGGAGTTAAATGAAACCAACATTAGTGGCAACATAAATATGAAGATTTGGGCGTTTTTGGTGGCGTGCAGTTTCTGTAATTTATTTGCAGTTCTCTTTAATCTTTATAATACTAATCAATGACGCCAATATTCGAAAAGTGCATAGCTGCTAATATCAGCAGCTCATCCCTAAGCGAGTTCGCTTTGTCAAGTAGTTTCGAAGAGTTACAGTGAACTTTCTCAAGTGAATTGTTTGCACAGGTATGGCACTGAGCGCGAGTACAATGTGCTGGTCATGGACTTATTGGGACCGTCTCTTGAAGACCTTTTCAATTTCTGTTCACGAAGATTCACCATGAAGGTAATCATGTCACAGCCTACCTTGAGAGGTCACTATGAAAATTTTTCTAGTTTCAGTTTGAGCATTCGCGAAGCGAAAACGGTTTCTATCCTTCCTTTGTCTTTTTTGTTATTGATGACATTTTCATACGATCATCCAGGTTTAATCGCAGAGCGCTTCACGGCCAGTGTCATCGGGGTGGTAAACCATCTGAGAGTCAGGCCCTCTGCGGTACCCTGATTTTGTCAGTCCATTTCAGTCAATCAATGAAATATTTTCAATCATGAGCTTAGGGCCTATATGGTATTAGACTTCCAGCAATGCAAATTGGCATGTACTACGTTTCAAGAGACTCTGATCTCCTCTTAATCTAGTTTCCTTCCTCGGCCAAACAGCAATTGCTCAAAGTTTTCTTAAGATAGTGGCGCTGACTTAAGGCCATACAGTTTGTCTTTCTCACTTTTAGAATTTCAAGTGAACTTTCTAAAAATACGAATTTCGCTAGGTACTGTTTAGAATGGAACCAAAGGAACATGTTCCCATTCGTCATTTTGCAATGTTTTGTTTTTGAGCAATTCCATTTCTTCAGACAGTATTGATGCTCGCTGACCAGATGATCGGTCGAATTGAGTACGTGCACGTGAAAAATTTTATACATCGTGACATCAAGCCGGACAACTTTCTGATGGGGATCGGACGACATTGCAACAAACTGTTTCTAATCGATTTTGGACTTGCTAAAAAGTAAGAAACGATCAGTTTTACTGCACTTATCGTCGCGAAATCTTTGGCTGTATTGAATGTTCGTAGGTTTTCTCTTATGCGAGGTACTTCTTTTGAAATATGAGTTGTCACTGTAGTTAAGTAAAGGTTATTGGTAGGAACTGCTACTGATATTTTGAAAATTGCCAGTCGTTGTTGTTGGGTAGTTATATATACGTTCTTCATTTTTTCATTATCGGTAGTAGTTTGCAAAGCCACTCTTGTTCTGCATTTGTTCGTTTCACTTGACTCAATCTGTGCTAATAATTGTGCTCAATCTTGGTGTGCTTCTCTCATTAGCTTATTTGTTTTAGGTTCCGAGACTCGCGCACCAGAACACACATTCCTTATCGAGAGGATAAGAATCTCACGGGTACAGCACGATATGCTTCTATAAATGCTCATCTTGGAATAGAGCAGAGCAGAAGGTTCTAGTCAAATCACTTCAAAAGTCTTTTTTCCTCGTAGCAGTATCTAAAATTCTTTCAGAGATGATATGGAATCCTTGGGTTATGTATTAATGTATTTCAATCGTGGAACTCTTCCCTGGCAAGGTCTCAAAGCAGCGACCAAAAAGCAGAAGTATGAAAAAATTAGTGAGAAGGTGTGCTAATTTGTTTCATTCAGACTATTTGTATTTGGTTTTATTAGAGATAATTTGGTTTTTTCTTTCTGAAAAAAAAACTTTCTTTTGGACAAAAGCTTTTCAGAAAATGTCAACATCGGTGGAGATGCTCTGTAAGGGTTTCCCTGCCGAATTCCCCATGTACCTGAACTACACCCGTGGTCTTCGTTTTGATGAGGCTCCAGACTACATGTATCTGCGCCAGTTGTTCAGAATTCTGTTCCGCACTCTCAATCATCAGGTAATATTTTACTTATCAAACCTGTTCTTTTGTTTTTTTTCAACCCCTCTTACTCCTAGCCTTAATTGTACATATTTGTACATACTGCTGCTCGCTGTAGAAAGTTTTATATTGACATCAAACTAATTTGTTGTGGTATTATGGTGTGGTCCTCATAGCCTCACCATTGATGAATTTTTTAGCCGATAATATTTCTATGAAATTGGCATATCGGTAAGTTCTGTGGGAAAAGTCCATCCAGAAGGATTATAGTTGTTGTCAGCCACGTTTTTCCACAAGTAGCTTACTTCTTTGAAACTTGTTGTACTCCATATCTGCGGTGCATCTAGAACCTAGTACGCAACAACCACATAAATAAAATCGGATCTTACTGGAAGAAATTTGAACAAGCGGAGTATAAAAAGCCTCTCGTGAGAAACATTACCAAGGAGAACTAAATAGGTCAGCTCGACCGTTTGCAAAGTGATATAAACCTACATGCGTGTCATGGGACCGCAAAATCACATCAGTTTTTGGGATCTGCTGGAAGTTCTTCCAAGCAGTGTGGCAAAACAATTTCTTCACATTTCGCTTCTTTTTTGCTTTTTGATTGGTAGACTGACGACTACTGATGGTATGCACGGGAAGGGAGAGGGGGTTTCGCCCTACCGGTAAAGAGTGTATTTTCGGGGGCTGTTCTCTTAGTATGATTTGTGTTGTAGTGTGTTTCTAGTGCGAGCACAACGATGAGGCTTTATTGAGGTACATTATTGTGGTCGGGTTTGATAGAGGCTGAGAGGCTTTGCATAAATACTTGAGATGGTTCATGATTGATCTTCTCAATCATTTCAAATATCCCGAAAATAGGCCTACGTCACTTAAATACTGTGAACTTGTTTTGGCGGGAAAGCACAAACATCGAGAAGTGCTCTCGACTAGGAACTATTCAGCACCAACGCTTCCATTCTTTAACCCCGATATCGTGATATGTGCTTCTGATGTTTTTGTGACGCTTAGGCTTGAAACGGGTTTTTCCAACCGATCGTAACGAAACTGATGAGATATGATGTACATGTCCTTGAAGTGTACAGTTTTGATTACCTTTTACTACTTGCTGCCAGCATCGAAGAACGATGAAGTCCTAAAAAAAAGGTAGATTTGCAGACTCGTTTTCCTCGTTGGAGATATGTTCCACTTTGATTTTTGTATGTTCGCTTTTCATTACATGCCGTCTGAACTAAAATTGGAAAATAACTCGTCAACAATTTTTCACCTGAAGTGGATATTTCCATTCTTCTAATGATTATTGGGGCTGGGTGGGAAAGATGAATTCTGATTTCATGATCCCTTTCTGTACTACTACCCCTTACGGGCATTTTTGTACATACTTTTGCTCATATTCGGAACAGCGCGTGTAGAAAACATAAGGATAGAACTAATTTCTAGCATTGTTTGGAGAAATTTCACGAGTCTGATATCGTTCCTCGTTCTTCACGAGTAAGCATTTCTGAAGGTAACTTGTGTAACAGCTCCACTCTAACCTTGGATGATAAAAGGCCGTTGGATTTAGGATCGTTTCCAGGTGTCCTGGTGTTAAAAGAAAATCGGATGTGTTGTTATGAGAAAACTTTAAAAGAAAATCGGATGTGTTGTTATGAGAAAACTATTTTGGATGACAAAGTCGTTTGCAATCATTCTGGTGTTTTGAGAATGTTTATGCAGACATTANATTACCTTGATCTTTTCCTTGAAGTTTACCTTGGTCTTTTGGTCATCGTAGCGAAGCGATAAGTAATATGACAATAAAATTGTGTCAGCGCATGCGACTGACTTTTTGGCTAGACAAAGACCATTGAGAGGATACCCATTTGAAACGCTTAAGGAGAGTGAAGTAGTTTCTTCCTGACGTTTTTAAATCAGTTTTACTAAGTTTCGGGCATCGGGTACTTGATTTTCTTTTTTTCTACTCATAAGTTGTTTCGCCAGAGCGCGTCTCTTCGATTTTCCCTTCTGGCTATCAACCTTCTTGATTGATCGACATTTTTCCCTCAAAAAAATGGACAAGAATTTTTACTTTGTTTCAGTACGACTACACGTTCGATTGGACAATGCTGAAACAGAAGGCTTCTCAATCACAAAACACAATGCTGCAACCAGGAGCTAGTGGTTCTCAGCAGCCGATGCCTATCGTATCGCCTGCTCCACCACAGCAGTAACCAGCTGCAACGTGCTCCAGTTACCAGTTCGTGGACGTCCTATGACACAGCCCCCACCCCTTCTACTGTGTGGTTCTCCTTCTACAAACACACAATTTTTTTTCTTGGATTTGGGACACCTCCATGAAATGTTCTATTAGGTTTTCCTATTCGCCGTCGTTCCACGTCCTTTACAAATATTTTCTACTACTTGTGTTGATTTTTGCTACCTGTCGGCTCCATACATTTCATTCGCGTGGTGCGAATTGTAAATGTTGTAAAAATTCGAATACTCTTCCACAGCAACTAAATGGTTTGGAGGATGTGTTTCATGATAAACTGATGTTGACCGCGCCGCCGAATATCGCCGACTCCCACAGTTTAGTCAATTTGGCGTCTCCCCGATAAATTTTTTTTCATATGTTTGATGTCGATTTGGGTGTATTCCTGATAAAGACTCGTTTATTGTTGTCATGTTTCTCTCATAGAATCGATTTCTGTTTACGGGAATCAAGAATCTCCAGCAAAATGGGTCCGAGAAAGTAGATTAATCTCAACTAAGAGATTGGGACCAACCAAGTTCACGAGCGGTTTACCTCGTCTCAGAGAAGCGTATATTTGGTTACACAGGTTCGCGGAGGAAGTTGAACAGATTCGAAGCGGGAGACGATGTTAGTCGTTTGCGGATGTCTCAAGCATTCCCCCTCCATGGGGAATAGTATTAGAAGTGGCAGGCTTCACATAGTGTTTTTGTGTGATTGTTGTTTTTTAGAATCTGATAAGCACAGTCTTAGTCAGCATTTATGGCCTAACCCCCCGATGGTAAGGGTGGTTTCATTTGTCGACGTCTTCACGAGGGTCACTCAACATTGCAAGGCAGGTTTATTACTGAACCAACCATGGGTTCAGTCCGTTGTTCGACAAAATCCTCTACTCACCTGATTCGAGTTTGTAGGAGCGGAACGACGAGGGAATGTCAGTACTCACTGAAATAAGTGAAGGAGAAAGAACGTAAGTTTTGAGAAATTATTAAGGAATGGCTAAGCGCTAGATGACAGTACCGATCTACTCCTTTGTGGAGGTTACCGGGTGCGCCTAGGGTAACTGGTAATGTTTTTAAGAAATATTTCAATGAATAACTAGTTTTGTCCTTCTAGGCAAAGGATACAAATCAGGCCCAGCGTTCGTTAATACACTGGGATCCTCTATCTTCATCGATTACAATTATCAGAGGAGTTCCATGAGTTCAGTAGAGCCTATAGGATTAGGACATTCAAACTCATGACTCTACAGTTCATTCTGCCATGTTCTCTTACACCTACCCATTGGTGAGGTGAAAAAGAGGCTATCCTAGTTTTCTAGGTATCTCTTGTTCTCAGGCGGGCTATTTGGCGACATATCACAAGTGGTGTAAGGTCGCTTTCCCCGTCATAAAAATGTCATTGAGCTTCCGGTGCTGCTCCTCTGTGTCGCCCCAGGCTTTACCTATTGATTGCATACTTCTCTCCGTTATTGATTCCCACTGATATTCAATGATTGAGCATTCTGATATCATATCTGTGCCTTCATTTTGGAACTCGTTTCTTTCGCACATATAAATTCTTACCGCTAACGGCCGCATAGTAATAGCTGAGCGTGCTACGCTGTTCATGACTATAAGGTATCCTTTTAAGAGGGAAAGGAAGCCACTCTGGAAGTAATCTTAGTATTGCAAGTAACCCTGATTCAGAAGTAGCCAAAGTCTCTGCTACAACTGATAATGGAGAGGTAAGACGTTCGGTAAGCTTCATGTAGATTTGAAGTACAAGTAATTGACCAATTATAGGTACACTTCGGAGATCGCCTTCTAGATGACCTCATGAACACCTTCTGTGATCGTCTCCAGGCAGCTTGTCCTCGGAAAATAGACGGATGTCTTGCTATTCAATTTGTAATGGTGATTGCATCCTTCATAGATGATGAGATGTGGAACTGGTAGCGCATATATAGCCTCCAGCTCTTAGAAACCCAAAAAATGTTGAGGTGGAAGGATGGTAATAGAAAGAAAAATGAAAATGAAAGAACCAAAGCTCGGGAAAAGGACCGATTTGGAAGTTGGTCCTGAGGAAAGGAGAGTTTTGGAAGGAGAAAAGGGCATGGACGGCAGGGTGGTTGGATGTCATAGGTATCACTTATTATCCAAACATAATATCAAGGGCTACTCCTTTCACCCATAGTTCTGCTGCCTTTTTGCCGGTATCGTGCCACACTTCCTCAGCATGGCTAAGTCGATAAGTCCATCAGAAGGATGAATAACTTAGGAAGTCGCGATGCTATCCTTATCACCTTCCAAGACGCTCATTAGATTCTAGATGGGAGCCTGTGACGTTCCCATTCAACTCGGACGCTATCAGTGTAGCTCGGGGGAAGAAGTGATGGGCTGCTCCCTTGGCGAATGAGAAGCAGCTCATTCCCTACGCTCAAGGATCGAGGAAAAGAATTGACAGCTCCGTCACTTGACATCCCGGAACCTCCAGTCTTTAACCATTCAGTTGCAATGGTCATCACAAAGACACATGACTCTTCGCCTAACACTCGCCGTAATCGACTTGTATTCTTTCGCAGGCGATATGAGGACTACGTTTACCCAAGTGTATGCATGAACAGAGAACTCAAAGTATTTGCAATTTTCAAAGTGCATGGATAATCCTGACCTCATACGGTGCAGTGTTAAGATGTCCGAGTTTTTGTGAGATGCATGTTTTAGGAGGGAGGAGCTGCAGATTTGAAACGATAGACTCTATTTGGATTTGAGATTTTGGCTAAGCCGACTTGTGGGGTTCTAATCGAGCAGACCTAAACTCGCTATCATGCTCGGATTAACACCCCTGAGAGAAGGCAGCTATGAGCAACTCGAACTGTCAGAAGGAGGGATCCATCGCTGAATCAACTACACCTCACGACAGGGATTTCCTTTTCAGGATTGATCATTAACTGGCACCACTGTACTGTCGGTAGTTACCAGCAACTTTGTTGAAGTTCTAACCACACCTTTTGAATACACTGCTAATAGGGGTATAATGTCACATATCCTTCAGCTCCTGGGCAAACTGTTTGCATATATTCAAGAGCATGGTTAAAGCCACCGTAATCCCTTTCGGTTCATGTCATTTGAATTTAGAAGCATGGTCTTAGAAGGATGGCAGTAGCAGAATAGCTAGGAATCACTCCACACTCTGGGCTGAACGAAGCTGAGTCACTGAAATGAATGCGTATCTGTCACACGTTTATGACTTCCCATTTGTTTTTCTTCGTGGGGATTTTGAGATTAACACATCATGCACGTATTGCGTCTCGGTGGTCAATGTTGCACGACTCAAGTAAGGATTTGGTGGTATTACCACCGCAGAAGATGGGTCTCTTTGCTGGAAAATCACGAAAATCCTGGCTATCTCGACGTAATTTGATCGAATCAATAGCGAAGGTGGAAAAAATCTTTAAAGTCGACCGTTATCTTCAAAGCCGGCTATTACAGTAAGGACTAAGGTTGCTGGTGGGGCCATAGCCTTTTTCGCTACAGCAACCTAACTAACGTGTTCAATTCTTTCGAAGAAAGCATCCATCTTCACATCGCAGTGATGCTAAATTAGCCAGCCCTGAGAAGACTATGCAAAGCTCTCCTGTTACTACATAAACAAGCTGTCTGAGCTCATCGACTTGGAAAATGTCGCCAATTGGGCGAGGTGTAATAAGCGTCAGTTGTGGGTTTCTCAAGATGCTCCTAACAGCAAGAATCCATGTCCTTCAACACAGAATCTTTGGTTTGGCGTCCATCCTACATGAGCCATAAGGAAGACGTCGTCAATGCTAGGCCCAAGGGTTCTTCTTTAAATAGTGAGCATAATATTAGGTTGATGCATAATTAATGCGGATTTTTTCGCTGCTTTTTTTCTCCCTAAAGTGTTTGACTTTTGAGTTCGGGCTTTTTCTAGAAATGATCTACTTGATTTCCTCTACAAGAATATATTCAAGAGCCGATCCGCATTTTCGCTAAATTAGGCTTAACTACTTCGAGAAAGATTGGAAGGCGGCGCAGTCATTCCGCGATCTCAGTAACTTTTCGGCGATCGAACAATGAGCCAGAACCAACCAAGAAATGGGATCTGCCCCTGAATCTGCCTTATTCACCAGCAGAAACTTTTATGGATTATCTCGTCAACCGTTCATCAAAAAAATGGCTAGAGAATAAAAGTTACGTCGATTTGGACGACTTGATGGCCGATGTCAAGGCGTGGGTCGCCCGTGAGGATCAAAACTTCTTCGCTTTTGGGATCCGACTGACTAATCAATGGGAAGCAGTGCTTGACGTAGATGGTAAATNATGTCTTTGCTTAGTATTTCTGTAATTTCTTTAAGTAAAATTTGCTGGAAAAATCCGCAAAAATTATTCATCAACCTAATATATAGAGGCAGGTAAAATGCAGGGAAGTGGAAAATATCAAAATGTTTGACCGTATTTGACCGTATTTGACCACCAGGACATCATGTATTCTTTCACTAGATCACCTAATGAACGATCGCTGAAAAGTTACTTAGATCGCGGAATGAGTGCGCCACCTTCCAATCTTTCTCGAAGTAGTAAAGCCTAATTTCGCGAATAAACGGATGGTTTTTCGAGTATAATCTTGTAGAGAAAATCAAGTAGATCATTTCTAGAAAAAACCCCGAACTCGAAAGCAAATTCTTTAAAGAGAAAAAGAGCCGCGAAAAAATCCGCAATAATTATGCATCAACCTAATACTAACTGACTCACGTGGCCCTGTAAAATGGCTTCTACACCATGATCCGTGTTGAAGCCGCAGAAGCTAATAGCTGAGCAGGTGAGTCATTTCGAAGGCACAGAAGCTCAGTGCACTAGCGTCAGAAGTTCGACCTAGCCACTTTAATTGCCGTTGTCACAGTGAACCGTGAAATTTACATCTTTTCCAGGCTCTTACTAATATTTACTCAAGTCAAAGCTAACTACACAACTTTGTAAACTAGATGGTATACACTGCTGAACAGAGGGGATTGCTCGGATGGCCATCACTTTCTGAGACCTTTCAGTAGCACCGCTATAGTTTGCACCAAATTCTCAGGATATGTGTTTGAACCGCAATCGTTGAAAACGCTCGTGAATGTTGGCCGACCAGCTCATCAAATTATATTCGATCCCGATAGAGTCCATTATGTTGTAGTCGACTATGACCCTCAGACAAAAATTGTCGTACTTTATGATTCATTGGTTGAAAAGGATTCGAACGCTACTCACCTGGTAAGAAGAGCAGTCATGAGACAAAGTGTAAAGATACCGTTCAAATCAGAATTCAACAGTTACATCTCAGCCGTTGTCTGGTCCTTAACAATAGGATGGGTTATTATAATGGATAAGGCCTTCAGCATCAAACGATCAGGGATGCGCCTCGCATTCGATCTCCATTCACAATAGTAGTGGCGATTTGAATGCGTGTGTGGCCTGAACAATGAATAGTTTGGCTAGCCAATGTTTAGGTCAAAGCCTTTTTTCTCAACCGAGTCTACTGAAAAGGAAAGCTTTTCATATAAACCATCAGCAAAAAAAGACCAAAAGACCTTGTTAAGCACTACAGATTGTGGCCGTTTCTCCATCAGAGTGGGTGCCCATCACCTTCCAAAGGCTCCGCTCATATCCTTGTTTTTTCAGATAACTTGAGGGTCGACTTCTCGAAATTAGTAATTTGAGTAGGTATTCAGTAATAAATAGAAGTTGGGTTCGGAAAATCAACATTAACAATTTCATTAATAACTTCTCCACTGAGCTTGCATTCTTTCAGCTGACGGAACCAATTCGAAAACAAGTTTATTCGCTTTTTTCACATTTATTTCAAGACAAAACGATACAATTAGCTATTTCTCGTAGCTATGATCGGCAGGTAATATTGGCTAAAATCGCTGTATTGCTTAGCGATGCCAGATGCCTTAGGAATTTTACTTCTACAGTTCGTCATCAGAACACCCTTTTTTCGAAATAAAGTAAAGTCAGAGTCTTGGGGTGTTGCTCAATCTTGTCTGAGAGGTGTGCCCACGCATTCGACTTCCATTTAAAATCGTAGTGGCGTAATGAATGTGTATGTGGCCTACACAATGACTTGCGGTGGCCAGCCGATGTACAAGACAGTGCTATTATCCACCCAGACGGTTTGTTACCAATTAACCGACTCTGGAGGGATGGAAGGTCTGGGTGGCCCTCGATCCAAGATTCAAACTGTGACCGTGCGCGTGTGAGGTGTGCCATTTGCCAGTACATCAGTTCCGCCCTTTTTGGAAATATCTGACAAACTGTAAAATATCTCAAGAAGTTGTTCTAGACCGATACATGGTCCTGTGGATATCGTTCACTTGCATGTATGGTGGATCTAGCTCGGCAACGAAACCCTTGCGAGTACGTAATGTTTTCGAAGATCACTTCGTTTTTCATCCACATCTGAGGTTCACAGTGAATTGGAGTTAGTGATGAACTACCAAAATCTATAAGGGGTAAAAAATAACAAGTAAAGAAATAGCACCTTAAATAGGTCGAATAAATGACTAGAGTAAAGAAAGGGTCGAAAGACTAAAATGTGTGCCTGTGAGGGAAGGCTAGAGCAAGTATTCTATGGGAGGGAGAAATACAATAGCTATAACTAGTTAGGTAGAGACACCTACTGAGTTTTCGAGTCAGGAGGAATATGATGAAAAGCATAGAAGGAACTGAGCAAAATGAATCTTGCAAATGGTTAATAATGAGGTAGATAGATAGCTGAAGAGTCTGAGAGAACTTCTCCAGTCTTCATTATTATATTCTAGAACAGAATATTGTATGAGAAGTATTTTTGCCTTTTTCCAAAAGGTAATTGGCGAGTCCAAGGTGGAATGGGTAGATTTCGAAAATGCGTATTTTGGGCAGTAAGTCAGCGTGTTTATCATTTCCCACAGCTTCTTTTCATCTAAAATTTTGGAACACTCTGAATTAGTCTTATTTATCGTATCGGTCATGTAATATTCTTCAAAATGTATTTTGTCAATATAAAAAATTGATGTTAATTGCCGTTATTGTGCTATCGTAAGTTGTGAGGGATACATTTGAAGACCTCGCCAATGTGAAGGACAAAATGTTACGCTCGTCCGGTTGCACCAAGATCTAACGTACGATGAGGTTTCCGTGCCTGTACCATCCTACCCAGAAATACCTTGCGAGACTGAAGTTGGTAAGTGTTGCATCAAGCTAAGAGGAACTGAGGAGGAAAATTCAAGTTTTCGCTGCAGAAGTGCAGATCCACTCGCGATCTCCGACTACTGCCATAGTATCCAGTTTAGAAGTTGACACGAAGTCAGAAAACTCGTTCAGGTATCTTGGATTCTTGTTAGCGATTGAAGATATAAAGCTCTCTGAGTAGTTAAGGAGAAGAAAAACAAACACTGAGATAACAATTGGAATTAAAGCAGTTTGGCGGAATTTCTTACTTCCTACGATGAGCAAAAATTTTAATAGTACGGCAACTCAGGCGTAGCAGCGTTTTGCACACTTATATAGTCGATACAATGACTTGTGGTGCAAGCCGATGTCTAAGTTGGTACCTTTACCTTTCCGGACGAGTCTGGTAGCAATTGATCGACCTCGGCTGAAGGAAGTCCTAGTCGGCCTGAGCGAATATTGATCCTGGATATAACAGGTCTGCATAGAGGGTGATGATTAACTCATTCCCTTGTAACCATCAGAAACTCACTTGGTCGTTTTACAACGTAAGGCCATGCAAAATTGGATACAGCCCTTGCAGAGACATCTAGTTACCTACTCTTTACAGACAATTGAAAATTACTCGATTATATTCGCGAATGCTGAGCCCGTTTTTGCAAATGCGAAACTTTCTTCGTTCGCGCCACATATCACAAGATTTATGAGCAATGGTTTGGGGATGTAAGTCAGTCGGAATTCGCAAGTACATTTTCGAGCAACAGTACTCACACCACCACACCTTGCGCTATTGGCTGTTAAGACTGGATTTCTCACCACCTGATCTTTCAGCTATGAAGCTATCGAAAATCTCTAGAACATCATGTAATGTATGTGAAAGTTGAAGAGAGTATATGTTGAGATTTCGTTTCCGTGGAACCATGGTTTGCATACAATCGCTATTATGTAGCTTTTTGTTTCTACGGCCTTAATACCCGGACTCCTCAAATGCCACAATTTCACCATGACGTCCCGATTTGTGCTGTTATACTGATGTCTTCCATGTAGACATAGCCAATTTTCGAACTTAAAGGCACAGCTCTAGCGCAGGGCCACACTACCACTACCGATTCACTACAAGCTTGTAGGCTGCACGCTTAAGCTCGCTGTCAAAATTGCCGTCCTCTCCAGTTCCTAATTTTGACAAAACACTCGTGGAAACACCATGCTCTATTCACTTCTACGGGGCCTTCGCTTCTTCTACTGTCCGAACACTAGGAGTCATACCCGCTCTTGTGAGCAGCACATATGAGCCTAGCAGCCTCGGACTCTACAGCTCCATCTCTTCTATGCTGAAGCACTAGTAAGACAGGTATATTATGCGGCGCGAACGACGATAAGTTCAGCATGAGCTGTCCTGAATTGGTTTTTTTTCGAGCTTCCCTGCTGGTTAAATATGTCATATACTACTTCCCTAGGGAGTAAATGCCTTATGAACAGTGTCATGCTATATGTGTGATGTGGTTTACCATATAGGTAGCGTACTTTTTTTCCGATCGAACAAGAATAATGTCAGTTCGACTTGTTCAACAGCATCAGATTCATCTCACTACCACGGTATTTCAAACAGCACTCCCTACTGTAATGAAGAGAAATACTAAAACAAGGCTGGTTTCCGCATTGTGTCTCCTTTTGTAATTGTAAACTACCACTAACGATTAGGATAAGTATAAATCAAAGCTACACAAAGCAAAATGAACCATTTCTTGCTCCTTTATGTAAATCTAGTCTGATCAGCCAATCGTGAGGCTGTGATGTTGAACCTACTAACGCAATGACGCTCATGCATCCCATGTTCGTGGGGCTTGCTTTATGGATGTCAATGGCTCACTATAACCTTGCACGACAACCCAGTTACTCGGGACTGGGTTTCGGCAAGGATGCAGTCAAGTCGGAGACATCACGTTGTACGTGGACTTGCGCCGCACCCGCTACTTGCCTCTATGCCTAATGGATTACCAGTATCAATTCTTAATAACCTCTTAACGGACGAATGAATGAGGCGTAAGAGCTCTTGCGTGCACAACACACCTAGATGTTTGGGTTCCTCCCACATCTTTCAGTAAATTGAAAACACGCCCATTGCGCTTCTGCCTAGGCTCATGCAGGCGAATTTCATCTCCTCTATAAGCTAATGACCGAAAGAAGAAGAATCAGACTATGTTAGAGAACCAACTAACCCATGTCGCGTGGCACGATCCCAAAGGATGGTTCATCACGCAGTTACCGTACTACATCCCAAAACATTGCCAGCTTACACTTGACCTGCCATCCCCGTTGCCAAAGTTTTTAGAAGCCAAATCATTCGAGTGGGCTTCGTCAACAACTTCGGAGTTCACTTTTGCAGTTTATGTAATTTCCTTTCCTTAGAAATTAAAATATTCCCACATAGACCAGGCCATATTCGGCCCACATCGGTCACTTGGCCCTAAAAACTCCAAAAAGACATAGGAACACTGAAAAACGTGCATCAGCGTCAATGTGTTAGGGACGAGCAAGAAATGTAAGTATAAGTAACCATGAATGAAACCAAATCATTTTCATTTCAGGATTGCTTTACGTTGCTGTCTTGGATCTTGATTAGCATACGAAGTTATCCATTTGCTGCTTAATAATAAATTTGAAAATCTTTTCGCCTGGTTTCATTACAGTGTTAAGAGAGCAAATCAGAAATAGTCCAGTAGATGTATGTATAGCTAACTATACACGATTCCTTATACAGTAACATATAAAACTATAGATTTTTATCGATCACCTACTTGTATTTTCGGTTCAGGAACCCCACTGACCTGTCAAAATATACACTATGTGCCCTTCCACTTCCCCTCTCGAGTCAATTTAATGCAACCCCTAGATCCTCTGAGCATGGATCCGGCCAGGATTTTATAATTTTGTAACATGACATAAGAATTTGTATATAATGAGAGGTTGGGAAAGGGTTGAGAGGTTTCATTGTTCAGCTTTGATGAATTGCAGGGAACTACCAATTTTTTTGTGCTTGTTAGTGTGAGTACTATATTCTCGGATCCCTCACGATGCCTTCTTCCGGGTGCTATATAGGTGTTTTTGAGCTATGGGTAACCATTTCAGATACCCAAACTTGACTTTTGTAGTGAGGACTGTACGCTCGTGCGCCTCGCTAGAGTGATGGGGATGACTTCATTTTATGTACGGGTGACTATCACAGCCAAGCCTACCACTGTGGTATAGTTTTGCTATCCAAGACAGGAACGTTGCAGCTAGGTTCACACCGGGATATCCAGAGCATACGCCTACTGAGCGCTCCCATCAATTCCAATCAGACTTCTAGACTTCTTGCTAATTGAAGCATAGAAAGCAATCATTTTAGGAACTGTGCTTCCCCAAATCGTGTCAGAACAACACAACAACAACAGAAACAAAGAGGAACTTTCATAAGATTCACCCGCCAACCTTTATAACGATCCACCATGTAATCGCATTATTGTGATTTACTAATACGTTTAATATGTCGTATCAACCACTAGAATGGGTTTAAGGGAATGGGACACTCTATGGTTCAAATTATTGAGTAAATTCCAGTCACATTCTGAATCGTCATTCAGTGGAAGCTTAAAAATCGTTCCATCGTGAGCCGTCTGACAACAACCCCTTCATCCAGGAATTATCGTGCTCCAATTATAGCACTTGCAACGCAGCCGTGCGCTTCGGCCGCAACATTTGACTCCCAGCGCTTTATTTGAATTTCTTTGGTTTCATTTCGAATTCATCGCGTCGCCGTGATTTTTCGCCATACCTCGTAATATTTTGGGAATATTTACAGCTCGATTGTATTTTTAGAACGACACACAATGGCAAAGCATCATCCAGATTTAATCTTCTGTAGAAAGCAACCAGGCGTCGCAATCGGACGTTTATGTGAGAAATGTGAGCCTCATTTTGTTGCCTGATTGGTCAACTATATCTTTCGATGAACATTTCTGAACTGCAAGCGGTGGGGAACGGTAATAAACGAAACTTAGAAAATAGGCATACCAAAGTGAGGTGGGAGATGTGTAAACCACTAATGGTAGCAACTGCAATACTAGTTCAGCATACAGAACTCTATTCAAGTGGTGGAATGGTATAACGCCCGGGCAGCTGTTGCGAACTCATGTGCTGTGCTTTTCTTTTGGAGGAAGTACTTCGTAACTAGTTCTTGAAGTACTTTCCTTGTTATTAGTTATATCTGACATTCTTTAGACTGCCCATTTTTGTGAGATGATTTCTGCCTTTCCAGCTCACAAATGGAAAAGCAGAACAGTTTAGATTATTATTTTGATTGGTTAAGTGCATTACGTTCTACCATCATCGAACATCTCAGGTGATGGTCGCTGTGTTATCTGTGATTCCTACGTGCGTCCTTGCTCACTCGTTCGAATCTGCGACGAGTGTAACTATGGGTCTTATCAGGTAATTGCTAATTCTTGAAAAAAAAAAAGTTTTTTTTCACAGTGTTAATGGTTTATTCAAGGGTCGATGTGTCATATGTGGTGGCCCTGGTGTGAGCGAGGCATATTATTGCAAAGAATGTACAATTATGGAAAAGGTATGCATTCTCAACCTAATATTTTGTGATTTTAAAATCTTTCAGTTTTATGAATTTTTCAGGACTTAACTCCCACAAGTTTCCATAATCGTATTTGGTTTAGCGGCTTTCCTGATACATGAACAATACATAGTTGTAAATTTCAGGATAGAGACGGCTGTCCAAAGATCGTCAATCTGGGAAGTGCAAAAACGGACTTATTCTACGAGCGGAAAAAATTCGGGCATAAAAAGAACTAGCATTTGTGGATAGTGAGCAAGCTTTTGTGACAACCTTGTCTCACTTGAATATCTTAAATAACTCGTCCTCTGTTCATAGCTCCTTTTTGCTGTCATTCATAATTGCTTGATTAGTCGTGGGTGTCCAATAAAAGAGTTTCTTCTATCATTGCAAGTACGCTTATCAGGTATACGACCTTGGCATTCTTATAATTGCTAGCAGTAGTACGCACCGTGTAACTTAGCATGTATAATACAACACATTATAGCATGTCTAATATATATTCCAATAAACAAGTGGCAGCTGTTGAAGAGCTCCTGAACGCATTTGCTGTCAGTGATTGTATGTTTTTTGAGTAAATAGCTTTTTTGGTGTTCTATCATGGTCATAAGATTTTGATTTTTCTGTTGTAGCTTCACTTTTGGAAAGTGCAGCATGCCTCTTTTCTCACAACAATATGAGTCCAGGACCTGCTGGAAAAGATGTAGCAAAGTTCACCTCAAAGAGTTCGTGTTCTTTTTTTCTAGCTTTAGCTTTTCTATTTTTCTGTGTTACAGAAATACGTTACTGTGAATCGAAGGGGTTCTAGGAGTCATAGTTGCTATTGAAAAANAAAAATTTATTGTGACGCATAGGAGAACCGAAAAGTGATGCTTGGACGTGGAAGTCGCGAAGCCATTTCGAAAAAGAACCGTTTTCTACATGCGCTTGACTAATCTTTAACTTTCTCCCAGTAAGCTACTTCTGATTTGATTCAGGCGCTCAAAAGCGCAAACTTCGCTTGCTCATGGGTAATGATAAATGGTATTGACAGGGTTTGAAAACTTTCAGAAAGATCAATTAACTTATGTTTCCCTTCGAATTCCGATGTTCATCGCTCTCCTATTTCTTCTACTGATTTAGTGAGAACAAGAGATCCTCGCTTTGCAAGCGTATTCACTCGCACAATTGATGTTTTACGGGCATCGCCGTCAGTTGAAAATGTTGATGCGCTTATGGAAGTGCTTATTAAATGCAGGATGGTATGTGCTCCATCAAAAACCGTTCCATTCTATTGTATGAGAAAAACAAATTCAGCGTCATGTTTGGTACACAAAATCCCGTCGAGAACGTGCAGAAACAAGGAGCGAAATGCCAAGGTCTCCTTTCTTTAACCGACGTTCAGCAAGTCGCGGAAAACTTTCACGAATAGGTTCCACAATAAACTTTGCTCTTGCTGTACTACTTAGGAAGGTATTCTCGGTCGTTTTATCTGATTACTTCAGAGCGTGGGGAGCAACACAACTCTACTGTGGATTTGGTTCGAGACTCACCTCAAGTGTCTGCCTCTCAAGAGATCCGTGCAACTCCCCAAACATCTGCAAGAAATCCTCTTTTCAGGTGTTTTAGTAGTTTTAAGGAAGCTTTTCCATATGTAATGTATTTATAGAACCACATATTTGGTGTCGAAGTTATCGCAAAAGCGAGATTGCCACATTTCAGTGTAGGGTTGTCACCATCTCCCTATCATCGTTCCGATGTTGCTTCATGCAATGGCCCTTCTCACTTAAAACCTGTTGATTCTAAGCCTCATGCCGGAACACTTGCTGCTCGCATGGGGACTACTGCTAGTTAGTCTTTTTTTCACTTCCACTATAATGATGAATTTTTTGTTTATATTACATTTACTTGTGAGACGGCACGTGGTACACATAGGCTTAACAAAGCTAAAAAACATCATGATCGTTATAGTACAGTAGTTTATGTGAAGTACAAAAAGGCGGCTAATCATTTTAGAGAAAAGGGATCTAATGCTATCACAAACAAAAATAACAGAACTAAACTTAAGCCGAGCAATATCTCAAGGTTGGTCCAACCTTTGGTCACTTGCTTCCTTTTCTGAAGCTGTATTAACCCATTGCGCACACTAGTGTTTTCGCGCTGGCTGGCGCATGTTAGCGGCGTTTCGATCAGACCAACGCACCGACGTGAGTCGCGGCGTAGAGCAAACGGCCACACAGAGCGGTTATTCGGGGGAATCACAAATTATGTGCTGTTCGAACTTTATTCAAACTCTAGAGTGATTCTATACCAAAACGCAGACACGCAGAGGCGAACGGGCGTACCGTGTGCTGCACATGGTGCACGCGGTACGCAGTGGGCAAGCATACTGGATAGCCGTGGTAAACAGGAATACTCCCTCCTAGAGCTGTTGCTTACGAATGTTCTGAAGATTGGAGATTTAATATCGTTTTACTTACCTAATCATCAAACTGTCTTGTGGAATCTTACCTCTCCCTCATTGATTGTTTAGTCAGTGTTACATTTTTCAGGTGTACCTGAACGAACTTTGTGTATAGAGCTCTGTGGAGCTCTTCAAGGTTTGGAAGGCACTTACTTCAGAAAAGATCCTCACGGGTACTTGCGAGTAACAAAATCCTGCTCTCTGTCCCAGGTCTTGTTTTTTTTGAAGCTACCAGTGTCACTCAGTTTAGTTCACAGTTGTATTCCGGTGCTTTAGGCTCAAAGGTTCACTATTGAAAGTGCATTGTCTATTGCTCATTTATATACCGATATCGCGCGAGTGCCACCTAATCATAGCGATGATTTACTCTCGCAGGTAACGTTCTTATAATTTTGCACTAGCTTCTTTATCCAACCTTTCTTTGAAACAAATATCCTAATCATTTATGATAGACTTATGCATGACATTTTTATTTTCTGATGGTACTTAATCCAAATTCAAGGCTTTTTTGTTGGAATCGCAAACTATCCTTGAGGAATACATTCATGACGTCGGTGATATTCCTATCAACGTGAGTCGATTGGATTGATATGTCTAATGGAGAGGAAAAATAGGGCAAATTTCGAATACGCCAAATTGTTTTCAGTGCCGGCCGCTGACCGTGCTCCGCATTTTATCCGCAATAGAAAACTGGAGAGATCGCTTAACTATTTTGCAGCGGTTATATAACCTCAGAAATGAACCAGGAACACGTTTGATGGAGATGATATACACAGTTCATAGTTTTGTTAGGGAAAACTTGTAAGGATCATTACATGTTGATTTTGTAGAACTTCCAAGCGGAACAAGATTTCAATTCAGTTTTACGAGTCATTCAGCGTTGTGGACAAAGTCTTATCTTCCTGTGCAGGAGTGTTGTGCAGATCGATATGTCGATGGATGAGTGGATTTGAACTGGAAGAATGTGATTCGGTGAGGTTGAGTGAAATGTTTTGTTATTTTTCTGTTTCTTTTTAATTAGCTTTTCCTCATTTCTAGTCTTCGACTGTTCTTTCCTTTTTCAGCAAATGATCGTTTCATCTTCAACTCACGGTTATCGCTTGGCGTGGATTCCACCTTTTTTCCCCAGGTGGATAGCTGAATACGTATGTAGCTAACTTTATTTTTTTTTCTATATAGCTTGTGTTATACATTGCTTCTTGTTAGATTTTGAAAATCGGGAAGTCATGGAGGTCAGTAGACTTGCGGAAAAGCTCAGAAAATTTGGATAAGGCTCGAGCAGTTGTTGCCTCCCAGCTAAACTCAAAGTGCCTATATGTTCAGAGTGAGTTCTGTCAGCATACCAACGTTTTCTTCAGAGCAACATCTTCCCCTTTGTTTTGATTAACCTGAGAAAGGCGTCGTGAGGGTTCAGGCGAACGTCCCAAGTTGGAATTCGTTGTGCAGGAAGTGTGTTCGCTTGTATGTGGGAGTGTAGTGCGGAGCCTTGTTGTGGACCATCATTTATTGGAACATTTTGACGCTGCTCATTGTTTCCTTCTGCTCCATGATGCTCAATTCTCTCTTTCCCTGTATCGTCAGTTTTGGTACGTCGTGTTCATTAACAATTTGAAGCATGAAAAAGGTTACGTCATATTTAGCCAATATACTCACGGCCTTCGTAGCAAACTGTCACAACGCGATGCAAATAACGCTTTAATCGCTGCAGCTGCATCCTCTACAACTGCCCGACGTTTCCCGTTTCAGCTTTGTCTGGACGCTCTCCCTTCAGTATGCTTGTTTCATTGCGTTTTCCATGTTTCTGATCGATTTGTGATCTTGCAGCTTAACGACTCTCCGAATACTTCTTCACGCTTACAGTTTGTTCAGCCACTGAGGCCACTTTATCGTCCCAAAGGGCCTGTTGGCGATATATTCCGGAACACTGAAAAAAAGTACGTTTTGTTTTTCTCTGGGCATTTCGTTTTTTTCAGTATCATAAAAATTTTATATTAGGTACGAAACACTATTTCACTTTATATGGCCTTTGGAAATGAGCTTATTGATGATTTCGGATCGCGCAAACGCCATAAGGCAGACTGTTGCTCGAATTAGCCGCAAAATTGGAAAAGGTACGAATTTGATAACTAAATTGTTCAGTATAGTTGATCCTTTCTGTTCGTACCTTATAATGAAATTACAGAGTTTGTTAAATCGCTTCGTCTCACCTCAACTCTACTGTCTTGTTGTGAACGTGTTCTGCTTGGATTTCGTATATACATAGTGGAAGTGGTATGTTTTGTGCGAATATGATTGTTGTTTGACAATTTTCATCTTAAAAATTATAGTTGCCACAGATCGTTATTGCCCCTTTCCCATGAGTTTGGTCTCGTTGAATGAATTTGTCGATGTTATTGCGCTTTGTTCCTAAAAACTCATTCTCTACCTTATGAAAGTTTTCTCAAGGTGGATCAATTCTTCAAACGGCTTCGCCTTTGGATTGATGATGCGATAGATTTGGATGCTGTTGTTGAGGCTCACGATAACTATCTCGACGGTTTGACTGGAGCCTTTTTCCTGAAGGATGAACAAGAGGTGAATTTTTAATGGTTTCAATGTTCACAGCAACTGATATTTAACAACTATGTGTGAACCGCGTATTCAGAGCGCTAAATAGCTCAAGTAGACTTCATAGTGAAGTAGATGAGGCACCATGCATGCTCTGAAGTCAGGATCGTATGTCATCCATCCTTCAAGAGTATGGGCTGTTTAGGATGCTATCCTTGCAGCGACGAATCTTGGACATAGTTCTTTGCCGTTGACACGATATTCAACGAATTTGTTTGTAATCGAGACGGTAATACAGTAAAGTTGTGGTAGCAGAGTTATCTTGTCTCCTCTAAGGGAACCGCGCATCTAAAGCCTTTGCTATCGCAACATCCGCATATTAAGAGACAAATGATCTTTCCGTCAGTCGATATAAGATTATGCGCTTTGACCTTTAAAAGATTGCGCCTTGGTTCATCTTGTCTCTTCCTCACCGAAAATCCGCGTGGTTTCAAATGGTATAAAGACCGTTTCGTGGTAGTTCTGTGTCACTTTCTTCATACCGGCTGACGTGTTGCTTTTTAGTTATTTTCAACTATCTCTCTCTCTTTCTCTCTCTCTCTCTCTCTCTCTCTCTATATATATATATATATATATATATATATATATATATATATATATATATATATATATATATCCCATGTAAGAGAAAGAATTGGAAAAGAATTTCAAGGCATGTCGTTACAAATAACATAGTGAGCAAAGGGGATCGTGAAGTGAAAACGTGATTTTATTCAAAAAAGGAATTTTTAGGATGTATATGGTCTCATAATGTCCGTTCTTCAAATTGCTCACGAGCTATCCCAACACTGCCTGGATATCGACAAGCAAATGGAAACAGCGTTGAAAAAACCACATAAAGAAGGTGGCGGTGACCCAAGCCATGTAAAAACTACTTATCTTTTGGTAACACAGGCCAAGCTTCAAGTACGTATTTACTTTAACACGTTATCAGTTTTACTCTAACATACGAAAGGCGTTGCAAATAGCTAATTTTTAGAAAATATTTCTCGAACTATATTCGCGTATAAAGGATCTCAACAAGCAGCAAAACAGTTCAGCATTCAACATTCTTCTCGGTATTCTGAAGTAACGGTTTTCTTCGTTCCGATGATTTTACGAGTTCAACCAGTTTGTGATCAATTATTCTAACTCATATTGTGCACTTAGTGAATTGTGTACGTTTACTTAACCTTTATTTAATAGAGGCGTTGATGACTATTAAAATCATTTTCAATCGTTAACTTATCGACAACAGAAAAAAAGTTGCAATAAACACCCGTAATATAGTCTTTGCAAATGTGAGAAGCTAGTAAAATGAATACGAAAGAAACAATCGGAACAAAAGGGGTAGCAAAATATTTGAACATATAAAATGCGAATGACTATGTGTTATGATATCAGCTTTCAAAGGTGATCAATGCACTTCAATCAACAAGGGATTATAGAGCAACACTATATAGCAGCTTTGGTTAGTTTTTCATTCTTCATTTTAAAGAGAGAATGGCATTCACGATATTCCATTGTACAGTTTCTAGTGATATTGCTCCAGTAGTCCTGAAATATCATGAATATCAAGAGAAAGTGCTGCGATTATTAGAGACAACTTTAGGTTGATGTCATGACACAGTTCAAGATTTCATCCTACTTTCTTTCAGTTCACTCGCTATCCTGTCATTTCTGAAATATAGTTTTATGCTGGAAATACACAGTATTCTTTTCGTGCTCTGAAGCGTTTTCTAGATTCTTTTAAAAGCAGTAATCATTGCGAATCAGAGCAAAATTCAGCGGGTATCAAATAACACTGGCAAGTTTTAAAGGAAGTGGCAAGGTATTTGATGGCCCTACTTAGCCTTCATTTTTGTAGACAGATAGTTCAAGTCAAATTGCAGATGTTTCTTGTGTGAAACTCATATTCAAGATACAGTCGCTCAAAAAGGATAATCACGTACCATTCGAGTCACGAGCGAGTGTCCTTTCTCGATGCATTATTCAGCCGAAGAGTCATCTGTTTGAAATTACGCAGATTTCCAACTTCTCTGAACATCGCGGCAACAAGAGGAGAATCGCCATGTTCCAGTCCGTTTATCACGTTCCTGAAATGATATTTTTTGTCGTATAATCAGGCAAACTAAATAAGAATTCGAATGCGTTGTATATCTCCACCTTGTCTCTTGAGAGAACTCCTTAGCGAAGAAGAACAGCACTTCAGCTAGATATTCGACAGTAGGCCGCAACAGCTCAACTTGGATACGGAGGAATATCGTCTGTTGAAGCACATTTTAAGTCCAGGTATTCTTTGTCATTCTAAGGCATGACTGGTCGAATAATACATAAACTTGCGGTTACAANTGTGGAAGATCGGAGCAGTTCTTACTTTGACTAGTGCCGGTCCGTGACTGGCTAAAAGAAGGCGCGGCGCTTCGTCTCCATAGGAAATAGATTGACTTGCAATTGCAGCCAACACTTGTGAAGCTAACCGAACAACGCAAGGCTCATGTGACTCTGCCAATGTCTAAACCCTTCCACATTATACTGCCATGTATTGAAAGCATTATCGCTGTGAATCGAGAATGAAGATGATAGGGACATACCTGCCCAGCGATTAAAATGGCATTTGATATAGTTGGCAATGAGTTTTCTCCATTGGCGCGTAGCGTCTTGTAATTCTTCTTGACAATCTAAAGATTACTTTTACTCACGGTCAGCGACTGAAACAATCTGGTCGAAAAATGTGAATGTAAGAAACTTTTTACTAAGTAAAAGAAACTAGAAAGATACCTGGTATATCAACGAAAGCCATTCGTCAATGGCATGAAAAGGCATATTTTTGGCGAAAGACTCTAACCACTGTCGTATTGAGGTACATAATGGTGACGCTGTTGGTGAGTAATGTCCAAAAACCTGCAAATCAGGACATAGAATAAGTTCTTAATTGCAACGAACACCATTTTTGACTTCCTACAGGGCTCGGTCGCTTCTGGAGCACCACTTACAATCATTATTCAAACATAGAAATCATGAACTCCCACTTTTACATATTTAGACTCCAACAAAGTAAAATATTGAAAATGTTAAGTATACTGAAGCAATTTACCAATACAGCAGACTTGGCTAAAGCGCAGGCAGAAGTGGGATTGCTGAAAAGAGCATGGTCGAGAAGTTGCGACACTAATGGAAGCGCCTCAGGCAGATGCTCCGACGGTAAATTTGAAATGGCATTCCGTACGGCATCGCAAACCTAACAAATAAATTGCTGATGAAATATGTTAATGTATGTTGGAGGTGGAACTCACTCTATCACTGATGGTCGCAGGCACACTTGCATCCTCAACAATTTGAAGAAACACCGGGAAAGCTTGTCGAAAAATTATTACACTCGGAGGGTCGTGAGTGCGATCAGTATCTCCTTAAAACGCCATGCTTTGGAATTATTTCACAAATTCTGAGGAAATGCATGTAAGTACCTCCTCCCTTGCTGTTCAGACTTGAAAATAAACATGCAAAAATGCTTATTTGAAATTTCTTCGCCTCCACAGTTCCGTCAGAGATCATTGATTCTCCAGTTCCCAAATCTCGCAGGTGTGGCGCTATTACATTGTTCAGTATTGCCTAAACAAGCGTGGCTACTCTACGAAAACTGGCTTTGAAATTTGGATTGGAGAATCTTCTAACCATTTTATTTCTACCACATTATGCTGAGCACGTGGGGAATCACATCGATGGAGTATCACATGATTATTGACCTTATCACGAAAAGATAGCAGAGTGAATCAGATTGATGAGTGTGTGAGCTTTTCTTATATAGATTCTACCATGAGCAGCATAGAGCCCAGAGCAAACTGCATTCGAAGAAAAAACAGAAACAATGGAACACACCATAACATCAATGCTGGGCCTCATTGACAACACGTATCCTATACACTTCAAAGCCTCAAGACGTAAAGCTTGTTCGTTGTGGTCGTCCATGAAAAATGAGTAGCAAACTTGCGATATATCATCACCAACAACCTGAAAGTCATAGAATGAGTGCTTTGAAACCATGTTCTTCAGCATAAATTTACCATAATTCCTTTTGATCGCTCCGAAACGTACTTTTCCAGCGTTCGCAATGCCTCCTTGCTAACGGCTTTTCTAGAAACAAACGGAAGAACAAGCCGTATCACGTGACCCTCTAGTTCAGCTGCCTGAAATGTTTGGTTCTAAAACACACAAAAATCGTTTAACTGTGGGTGCGGAATGATCCACCAGATCATTACGTTCCGTTCAATTCTTGCCTCTCATTCGACTGCAAATAGAAGAAAAATTACGCATGTTGTGACCTTTTATAAAAATGAAATGCAGATGACTCCAGAGAACCATCCGTGGTGGCCTCAAGTTTATGAAGCTAGTAGGGATGGTTTTCAATTTTTTTAACACCCGCACTACACTGATTCAAAATTTTTCTAGAAAATACTTAAGTGCTCACGTTGTCGTGCTCTTGCACAAGATGCGAAAGAGCATGCAGATGCTTCATAGTGGTGTTCGCTAATCGGTCCGCATCAGCACCTTCACCTATACTTGACAAACGCGTGCATAACTCGAGGTTCCCACAAATTTCTGGATAATCCGTCTCTGAGAGATAGTCAGCAACTGTTTCCCAGAAAAACATGACACATTCCGTTCTGTAAGGCACTGTATAATTTCTATCATTAGAAAATGACGTTATCCTACCTGCACAGATCGCCCTTTTCTATCGCTGCCCCGAGCTCTCGGTTTAAGAACTGTAACGTATCCTTTCCCATCATAAAATAGGCGTCAATCGAGACCTCGCTGCGGGCCATGCGATACCTTAACAAAGTGGAAAGAGGTATACTAATGTGCGCAATTCTTTGAAACATGCTTGAGAAAAAGATCACATCAAGGAATGCCTAACCATAAATCATAGCACATAGAAAGTCTGTAGAAGCACTCTATATCATAAAATTTGCAAACCTCGCGAACTGCTCTTTCTGAGAATTGTCGTACTCATCAAAGCGGTCTGCTGGAGGATAGGACATTTTATCTACTGCAGCACGACACACGTCAGCATAATATGAGCTCACGGCCCTGGCAACCTGCAAGTAAGAAGTGTAAGACGCAAATATAAATATTCTCATTCTCGGTAGTATAAAGACTAACACTGGAAAGCACATCATGCTTGCTTCCAGTGGCGGCAGCTCCTAAATGCTCTCGTAATGTCATGAAAAATGGGGCTGGTAAGTCGGAAATCATTTCATCGATAGCATAGGCTCCATCACATGAGCAAATACTCGAAAACAACGAGCAGAGGTCGCTATAAGAAAAGAGTGATACCCAAGCTGGTAAATAGAAAGATGGCCGTGTAAGTGTTACCAGAGTAAAGCGGGATTATGCTTTGCTTGCCGCAACAGAGTAGGCACTGATGTTACTGCAATAGTACATACTGCCGAAACTAGAGATACCACATCTTCGCTTTGAATATCCTCAGCTAGCTCTGCTGCAATTATCTGAAAAGCGAAAGAAGTAAGCCTTCACCATCATAGCTGTTATACTTGAATCGTGAGGGAAGTTCGCCGCGATTCTGCAGCTTTCACTGCTTAAATCAGAACTCGTTATAACTGCACTCGTTTAGAGCTGATTTCATGTCCAGTTCTTGCCTACTCGTCAAGCAGGAACATTTGGCTGCGGCGCCGTAGTTTCCTTCATTCTAGATAGGATCACTAGGGTAGCAATTTGTTCGCGTTTTTCTTTTTATATTCATGGCTGACTAACATGAATTCTATATAAAAACTGTACGAAAATTTAACCTGTGCACCAGCGGTTGTGATGTACTGACATATGTCCTGCACAAGCTGATCAATGGAAGTCAGCTCATCATTTGCTGCCAAAATATTAAGAAGATTAGTTAGCGCAGCACTGAATACAACAGACTAAGGATTATAATAAGTAAGGAAGCAGCAGTAAATACGAACCTATCATCAGAAACAGCACCAAATACAACCGATAGCACAGGTGTCCACTGGTGCAGCCCAACCCCAGGCAATTTCACCCATTGCTCCACACATTCTACAGCTGCTTGTCGGGTAGATGGCGATGCATCCTCTGCTCCCATTACAGTGGATATAATACGGATTATATCCTGAATGTGATTTCAAAACGTACTGACTATAATTCGAAGTATAACAGAGGTTGTCAGAATCAAATTTTCCTTATAAGTAGAACGGTCGCCGAAATGAACTAGACGAATGGCTATAGCGAATGGAAAAAGAAATCTGTCAGGTGCAAACCTCAGACGTTTTATGGAGTTCAGTTTTCAGCTTACTTCGTTGCGTAAGCGGCATGTGGATATTCGAGAATTCGGCAGCGATTTCAGCAAGTACTCTAAAGAACAAGTGAAGATTATTTGGCACCTCAAGCGGGAGCTAAGAGCGATTCACCGTAGAAGGAGCTCCGGTTGTGCTGCCCAGATGTTGGTCAAAGTAGCTACAGGATCAGGCCACACATCTGGCATGCAATACAGAGAAAGCATAGCCAATGCTGACGATAATTTATTCGTGATTGACTGCATTTGAACATGAGCACTTGATGTCAAATTTTCGATTAGAAAGGACTTCAAAACTTCCATCTGGAACGAAAACGATCTTTATCGTCAAGGTGATGATTGTAGAGAGGGTCTTACCAAGGTAACATTGGCAACACACTCCTCGTACCGATGTCTGATTGTTTCATATAAAGATATGGCACCGAAATATTGTACATTTGCAGGATATCGAGGGCCCATCAACAATATACACGCGGCTATAGTATCGTCGCATGAAAACCCTCAAAATCGTTCAAAAAATTAAGGCAGTACTTTTGTGTAGGAAAATGAGACCGCAGCATTTACATACTGTTTTTGAACAGGCACAAATCTTCGTCGAGTTGTTTTCGTCGCTCGGCATTGTTCGTAGCATAGAACTCTTGAACAGAAGCCGCGACTGCCGCTACATCCACTTTTTTGGACATGAACCGAGCAGCTGAAGTTTAAAGTAATCGGGACCACGGAAATGGAAATGTAACGATATAGATACCGTCAACGGCAAGCATTTTAGAAGCAACAAGAATCGTAGTACATTTATTAATCGAAAATAAATATGTGGAATGTATCGACACGTATTCCAAAATATTAATTACAGCAACTCGTAAGGCAGACGCAATTCACTTAACAATTTTCATTTCATATCTTTGTCATAAAATGATTTGACGTGGAATTGAGGTTTCCTGGGTAATAACAGCTTTCATGATGACACGCAACTCCTCTAGTGCTAGTTCCGCATGTAGACGAACTACGTGGTCAGAATCCCATCGCCACAGACGAACCAATTCACGGTGTAAATCCCGTAAACGATCACCAACAATCTTCAAAAAGAGAATACATACGTGAAATAGGGAAGCCAGCAAATAGCGCACCTCCATCAAAGCCGTGTCACAGGACTTGATAACCTGGCGAAGTAAATGGACAGCAGCACGTCTAACTAGGAAGCTAGGATCAGCTGTTAGCATTTTCTCCACAGCATAAAAAATCTAAAACCAGGTTGGGAGCGTGATGCACGAATAACGACAAAACAGATTCTGTCATATACTGGCAAAAAATTACCTCTTCTAAGTATTTCTCAATGTTCTTCCCACGACATGCTAAAATCAGCTCAGCCAACGAGGACAAGGCGCTCGTCCTGATAATTTCATCTTTTTCGCTGAAACAGCTTAGGAATACTCCCGCAGACTCATCCATCCAGACAGGGCTGAGGTCACCTGGAAGCGCGCTCGATTTACATCTCATTCACTTCAAAGTATTGGATGAAGAAAACATTATCCCTCACTTACCGAGAACTCGAAACACCTTTCCCAAAACTTCGCAAAGCCGTGAACGAACAATGGTCGCAGTATCCGCAATGGTTGAAGTTTCGATTTCGGCATTCTATGGAATTGCATATGAACACAAAAAAAAATCTCGAAAGCAAGTAAGAATCTATTAGATACTTCTTTGCAGGGACTCTCTGCTGAACCTCGAAAGGTCTTGAACAACGTGATCAGTTCCCTCAAGTAAGTCGAGCTATAGCAAGCGGCTTCAGCCAAAGCATTTATGGCAGCTAGATATACATAAGAATCCGCATCGACTATTGAATCTGAAATTGTCCATGAAAACAACAATTCGACAAGAAACAGCTACTCTCTGAAAACTTGATAAAGGCACCTTTCAAGGCCCTAAAAAGCCATTTGTCAAGTTCCATGAGGATGTCTACGTTCCTAGCCCGGATCAAGCGCCCAGCTTGCAAGAGAGCTCCACCACGTGTTACAGGAGATTCATCAATGAGACCTTCGCGTATTTCGCCAATCACATCAACCATGCTTCTTCTGAATGAGTAGATCACAGCTCAGAGCGGATGAAGAGCAAAAATATGGCGCTGCGCTTTTCTTCAGCGAGTGAATCCAATAGTTAAGCAATTGAAGGGGATCTCGAATCGAACAAATAAGAACTGCAGAAGTAAAGACGATAACAATACGATGACCCAACTCTACCTGGAAGTTAAAACCCAAAAATTTGCTATAAAAACTCGCAATATTGCGACGTTACTATCAACTGACTGCTGGGCCGTTTAAAGAACATCATTTACAAAATAGCTGCCTGCTCGCATGAGCAATTCAAGTGAACTCACACTTTCTTGGGTAAATCGGCAGACGGATTTCGAACTGTAACCTCTAATCCAAATAGAGAACAGAGCTTTCGTGCATCCTCCGCCATAGCAAGAAATGCGTCGTCCTTGCAATCGAAACTGTACACACAATCCGAGAAAGATTTCAATTCCGCACAAGTTTCCGAAAGTGCCGAAGTAGTCTAGAAAAACAAGATGCAAAAATAATCATACACCGAACCCCAAACCCCTTTCGCAGAGCTCCAAACTAACAATAAATTAAAGGGATTATAGTACATCTAGAGCAGCAAGTTAAAAGATTGTCAGATAGCAATGTATCTAATTCACTGGTCGTATCATTTTGTCGATTTATCAAACAAAATACGTTGAAAAATTCCCACAATGGAAAGCGCTTTATCACTATTTGTTCGTTCTGCAAAGTTCTATCAGAAAAAAAGAAGAAATAATAATATGAAGACAAAAAATCACTTTCTCTGCCATAGTAGCCGCCATAATGACGGCACCAGCTAGCCCAATGGCCATTTTTGCATTTTGTGCAATCGTTGAACGCAGTTGCTGGTCGTGCTCGTTGGGAGCAGCGATGATGTCCAACGTCATCTTTTCATGATGCTCACTCATATACCTTGTAGTCGATTGCAAAGTAGCCTCAAATATTTAAATTGGTATCATATTTGTGAAAGTCTGCGAAAGGGCATTCCTATTCAACATGAACTCCCATTACAAAAAGAGCCTCTAAACAAGGCGGAAAAGAGTAAAACACAGTGAGAAACGAGCTCGAAGAAAACGCACCTGAACTAAACCTAACAAAGATAGAATTATCTCTGTATCAAAGAAGTTAATATCACCATCTTGCAGCTGCTCAAAAAAGACTCCAGCGATTAAATGAGACGACGACCGTCGAAACTCTGCAGCAAAAACTTCGAGTTGTTAAATAGAGTGAAGCTTTTTACAATCCATTCACCATCAGAAAACTACTGCGACAGACAAGCTCACCGGTATCGCAGGTGATAGGATCGCTGTGATTAATGAATCGCGGCATATCTTGTTGCTCACCATCGTCATCCCACATTCTTACACTTTTACATGCAACTTCGATAAACAAGCGACTTGCAGTAGGCTGATTCAAGCTCTGTGGAAGGAAGCATTTTTGGGAGTCGATAATTCAAAACACGTAAATATTGACATAAATCACGGTCTTCAGTGTAGACCTAACTAAAAGAACATCCCAAAACTTAGGAACATTTCATATTTTCAGAGGCTCATTTCGAGTTTACAGTGAATGGTAGAGACGAAGAGTTGGTATAGTTCTAGAAAGGTTGATAAAGATTCGTATCAAGTAGAAGCCAACTATGAACGAAAAGACCTACTTTCAGCAAAGAAATAGTTGCGTCTATTTTTCTAGCCAGGAGCTCTTCTTTATTCAATTGAATGGAAGACAGCGATACCTTTCCGTATGCAGCTACAAATCGTTAAAATTCATTCTGTTATGATGGGATACGTAGTCTAATTTTGCTTTCAAAGATCATTGAAATAGCTTACGTGGACTAACGCCTATTTCTTGTACCCGGCACTGATCTTGAGTCAAATGAAAACATGGAGACGAGCCAGTGATAAATGCAAGGAGGAACTCTGACTGAAGATCAGACGATATCAGCAAATGCAACGGTGTACGGATTGCAGGAAATATGCCGGAGTAAGTCTCACCAAGTTTTCAACATTTTCTAGGGCAAACTTCAGAATAGAATAAACGTCATTTCGAAGATTCCGGTGACACTGAGCAGTGTCAAGAGACGATATCGGCAACAAGGACAATAGCATAGCCGCTACCTAAACGTAAACTGTCACAACTTGATCACTTCTACGTTGCAGAATAACGCACCTGTAGATATCGAGGATTATTTTTCAACAAGCCTTGGCTTGATTTCTCATCACTCCATAGTGCCAGCAAGCAAAGAGAAGTTGCACATGATGAGGACCACGACGGGTGAGCAGTAGCGGTCAAAACCTACAGTAGAGATCGAGCTTCTGTTCCAGCAGAAATGCTCGAAGATTCAAATGTTTCGACGAGTTCGAACTTACCTCCCACGGCTTAAACAACTCGTCTTCAACCAAAACACTTGCTGCTAATGCGCTCCTCTTCTTCATGTCAACCACAAAGAAGGAAAAAAGCTGGGCTAGCTTTTCTCGAGGAAATTTTTCATTCTTAAAATAATATTGGAACCAAAATTGAAGGGACAATTCTTGATACTCAAAAAAAGAAGCCCTGAAGAGGTACAACTCACATATATGAGTCGGAAGAACTGAGCAGTAATATTTTTATAATATACCATCTTTTTCATGTTACGAGGAGGTAAAGCGAATTGTTTTCCAAGAACAGAGAGTAAAGGTGTATTTTGCCAAATTCCATCACCATCTACAAATAACGAAAGGTAAAAATGTAGAGGGACAAGTGTATTTACTACTTACTTAACTCTTCGTATGACGACAAGGTAATGTATAAGCCTTCGTTTCCAACGAGTATTTTGGATAAATGAGATCCAATTGCGATCTGACCAGAAATCAGATTGGTATGAGATACAGAAGTGAATATCCACAAGCTGCGAGGAACAAACATACTGTGAACCATGAAGGAGGTTTATCAGTAGCTGCCCTCGGTTTAACCAATCCCAAAAAGGTACTCATCAAGAGTTGTGGTGGAGCAGAACTCAGAAGCTCCTCATAGACAGCGCTGAGGCTGTTCTTGCCAAAATCATTCAGCTAAAAAAATCGGGGATGTACAAATGACAAAGACAATGACAAATGCAAGTACTCTTATGATAGTTGGACTGAAAAGTTTTTAACGGGTAGTCTTTGGGATGAAAGAAAATCCACTGGAAAGTTGCATATTTGAGAAGCTTGATCTTCCAGTGTGGTGCATGTGGCAAACAGGCTTGACCACCAATTAAACAGTGAATCTTTAGCTTTGAAAATTCAAAGAATGACTGGTAAGAAAGAATTCACCTGTTCAAAGACGCAAATGATATCAGAAAAGTATTTTCGGAGAAGCTCTGCTCGAACGGCATCATTGCAATTTAGAAGCTTCATAATACATTCTCCAGTGCGTGTCAGCTGTATAATATATTAAGGTACAAAAGTAAACCCAAAAACGAGAAAGCGAAAATAACCTCGTTTTTCCGAAACTCGAGATCGCCAGCACATTTCTCCCACGACCTTATCACTTGAGAACGTAATTGTAGTGGAACCCCCACACCTAAGAAACAGTCCCACATCTTCACGTAGTAAAATAAATGTCGAAAAAACTGCTAAATGATAGCAATGACACGCCGTCCACAAACCTTTGTCGAGATAAGGCGATATGCATGTCAAAATTAAGAATTGGAAGGAAGAAGACAACAAAGAGACATGTTTAACAGAGACCAGCGCAGATTTTGAGTCGTTCTGCTTCTTCAACTCATTCAATTCGTCCGCGACCTGATAACAATGGTAATGGTCATGAACGGAAGTGCGAAGATAGGACTAAAGCGTTTCTTAATTTTGCCTTCTAGAAACCTTATTTAGATGAATCTAACTGATGTCTTCAAACGTTCAATCACCTTTTGCATCACAGCTATCAGTTTATGTCCATACCGTAATCTAGCATCAAAAAACTGCGAGTTTGCATCTTGCGCAGAAGACGTGGATGCCTTCGTGCGTATATCATCAAGCATGCAGTGGCATGAAGGATCACATGTGGGCAAATTCTAGAAAACTGAATGCTCAATACAACTCGAAAGCAGCTTTTAGGAATGAGTTTCGAAATCTCAGAGCAACACACATTTTCGGAGCTTTCCAGGTCCAGCAAAAGAGCAGCTATCGGATCTGATTTTGATGCGTGCCATACGGAATCTGAATGGCTTTAGGTTTCATGAGTTAGGCGAAGGAAATGACCACAATAACTTTTGATAATCATCAACACCTTCGCAATGACTGAACATGATAGGTCGTACTGATCGGGTTGAAAACTAAGTGATGGCGTATAGTTAGGGAAAATATTATAAAATTACTTTCATTTTAAAAACAAAGAAATGCTTCTTCAGTCAGAAATTGGCAACAAAATACCCATGCACCTGATGATTGGCATAAATCACTTTGAAGAAGGGGTAGTAACCGTAACCTTTTACGATAAATCGTTTGAGCACTTAGAAAAACACGCTGTCACTTAGTTCTTAACCTCATAGAATCAGCAAAAAGAGTATCAGAAAGCCAATCTGATTGCGCTATAAGCATTACTTCGGGTGACCGATGTGTCGTGCCCGCTCGGGCTTTTCTAGGCTATGCAGATGGGTACTAATCCTCGCTAAGCATTGCTTTGGTAACTTTCTGAGAAGCATAATAACAGCAGTGGCCTATAGTTCAGAGAATCAAGTGTTCAGCCGAAAGAACTTCCTACCAGCGGAAATTGTTCAAAAATACTATAAAACAAAACCTCGTCAATCGATTGAAAACACACTGTAGAGAAGAGTAATTACCTTTCTCGATGGAAATACACTTTTTCAGGCACTCAAAGGCAAACTCCAAGCCAGCCATGCAGTCTAGGCAATACCTGACTTCCAGTAATGGCTCTCAGAAAAATATTTTCACTACTGACGAAGGTAAAGAATTTAGAATTATAAATATGATCCCAGTTCTAAGGATCATTTGTAAAATCCAGTTCCGACGCGTGTTGCGCACGCGGCTATGATTGGAGCGCGAAATCATCCTGTAGAGAGCAGTCGTTTTGTTACACTTCCTAACAACATAGGTTGCAACTTACATAGTTGTATAGAGGGGGCTACGATCCGCTAGAGACTGCTAATACCTTACTTCTCCGTTCCAGACTATGGATACAAAACTCCTTAGNTCTGACCGAAAGTCTTAAGTTATGGCGGTAAAGAAACGATGGTACTATACCAAACACTCTAATTTTTATTCAGTATTTCTTGGATTAGCACAAACCGTTTATCGTTTGGCTGCTCTTCTTCAAACATTAGGCAGCCGTCTCCATGGCGACGGCTTTGGGGGGCTTTTGAGGCGAACTCGAACTGGCTACTGCGAGCGGTCAGCATGGCTGTTCCCAATGGTTCGACTCCCTTTCTGTCGACACGTAAAGCAGGTTTCTATACTTCCCAGACTTTTTTCTATATTTTCCGCAAGTTTTAGAAACTCTCGGTCTTTAACCAATCCTATGAGTCAGAAAGAAAAAACATTGGTCTCTGATCCAACATTATACTGAAATCGTGTCTTTATCTTCCTTTCAGTAAGGAATTTTCTGGTGTCTAGCTGGGTTTTGTGAAAGGCTGAGAAAGGCAAAGATCTCCTCTTTAGTGTTCCTTAAAAGAACAGAATGACACAATTCGTCCAACAATGAATACCTGAGTTTTTTTTTGTTTTCATTTTCTGAGGCCATTTTCTGAAAACGGAAAGCAGCGGAGAAAGGAATCGGAGTCAGAGGGACTCAAAGTTATAAATTGAAGTGTAACTACCTGCTCTCCAGAGTAATTTATATTTCTAGGACAGGAACCTGCCTGATTCATGATCACACTGTTCGGCTAAAGAGGCAGTTTTTTTTTTCTGAAAAAAGCATCCATTTTGTTGTATATTGATCACAAAATATCCCCTTGAAATTACCCAAGTACTTAGTTGTCAACCCAACAAAACCATTTGTCTTGAACCCCTTGATTGGTTGTGGTCTTAGTTTCTTAGTGAGAAAAAGGACTCTCTAAATTGGGGGTCAACTGTGTCCAGATATCGCTCGTTACCACTCATTATCATATCGTATCATATATCTACACCCTCTTCCTACTGTATTCCGTTCAACTTAGCCTTAGTACATATTAGTCATTTTCTTATTCTGAAATTGTAATAATATTCAGTTGCAGATATAGAAGCAGTGAGGGGGACTTCATTTTCTATTTATCATATCTACATATTATAATAATATATGTCATGATGGCTATTTCAGAGTCATTATCGAGCCTCCCTCTTCAAGTGGCAGTGCATTTGAACATATGCCTTGCTCCATTTCTATTCATTGCCGAAATTTGTTGTCTAGCAGTGAAGGTACAAGCATTCTTCTTCAGGATTCGTGAATTAGCATAGAAAAGCTTTCATTACAGTATTCATACCTCTCAGTGACTTACAAAGTCATTTTGGTTGCCGTACTTCTTGTTTACGTACTGGTTGAAGTTATCCGTCTATTTCTAGGAATCGTCGGAAATCTTGGAGAGAAGGTTAGATTCACCTTTTTCTTATAAAAAATTGTCTTATATCCTAAAGGATCGGAAACCGGCGGTTTCATTAGTTTTACCTGTCAATTAGCGGCTCACGACTGAACCCGCATGGTCTGTTATATCTGTTCTCCTTTTTTCAGAAGGCAAAAGTTAGAAGCTATTTTCGAGGTCCATTTTTCAGACCAGTTTTTTTTGTGGAAGCTCCCAGTATGTTCCCTCTGAGCAGTACATTCAAAATCATTCCGGAGGGTTCAATGGGAGTTATAGAATAATGCGAAGTGTCGCTATACCGATGTTACCGTATATGTATATGGAACTTCACTCCTAGGCAGCCTCTCGCAGCGTTTGGAGAGAGTCTGCTTTGGCTTTGAACCTGCCAATTTCTTTTCCAGTCTAAAATTTTGAATGACTTTTGTTTAATGATGGACACTATGGAGTTACATTGAGATTGACAAATTTGATCAGTTCTTTCTCTGGGATAATCTCAGCATTCGACTTCCATCGTAGTGGCTGTTTGAATGCGTATGTGGCCTACACAATGACATTCGATGGCCATCAGATAAACAAGACAATGTTTTTTCGTCCCGAATGAGTCCAATAGAAATTGAACGACTCCTGAGGGGAGAGTAGACTTGAGGCCCGATGGTTGGATAAGGGCTAGAAAAGTTATGGCGCAACATATAAAGTGAAGGCGAAGGCTGATCGTTTGGTCTTGTAGTGGTCACGGTAACTACGTGGTTCTTTCTAGCATTGTTGTCAACTCAAAAGTATGGAAGGTTTGTGGGATGTCATAGAATTAGAGCCCTAGCCTTGAATTATTTCAGATTCCTGCTCTCTCCGGTTTTTGGACACTGTCAATGGTGCTACAACTGCCAATCGTGCTGTTCCTTCTGCTCAACCCTGCAGCGATCCCTGTTCCCTTCGAGATCATCATGCTCAGTATTCATTTTCTATTTCTTATAGTTGAAGTGAGTCCTATTTGAACCATCGAGACTAACCACTGCCCTTATTACCACGTTAGCGCGAAAATGGGGCATGCTGCCCAATTATCAATTCCAGTTCCTGGCCTCGACTACTCACTAGTCCCCAACAAAACTTCAAAATTCAATTTTAGCGTCCATTTTTCGCTGTCCATAGTTTTTAATTCATTTCGAGCTTGATTATAGGCCATCTTTCTCTAAGTTTTCTGATCAAGAGGTTGAGCAAAGTAAGGGCGTCTCATAGGGGAATTGACTCCATCAGGATTTCAGCTACCAATCTGAAATTCCCTTTCAAAAGTAGTATGCCTATCCCACTTCCACTAAGCGTCATAAAACAAGGAGAGGAATAAGAAGAAGCATGGAAAGAATGAACGACAAAGCAGGAATAGCGATTATTGGCAAAGGACCTGAACAAAAACTTCATTCACTACGATCCCTTTGGTCCTATCGGAAACGATCTCCTCCCCTCACACAAATGAAGGAACACGACCCGTATGTGGTGGCTTATATTATAGCTTAACTCTTGTCTCGATAGATCTAAACGCTACTCATATGGAGCTCCATTGATAATAACCTTGCCCAGCTGCTTTGCAGATGATATCTCTTGGCGGAGATCTTTTCGGCGTTCACATCATCCTTCTCCTTCTAATATCAACCACCGACAACCACAATTTTACGAGCGCTCTAACAGAGACCTACAGTAAGAACTAAGCACTAATACCACTCAGAGTTAACTATTTCATATGTTAAAAAAGGAGATGCATTAAACAATCATCTAGTTGTCCGTACACCTCTTTTAGCGCTGAAGAGATCTAATCATCAATTAACGCAAAAGTTCAGAAAAAGAGCATCCCGAGCTAGGTTAAAGAAACTGGAGCAACCACTTTTTCCAAACGTTTCTAGAACTTAGCCCGAACCTATCTCTGAGCTGAGTTCTGGAAGCTTTAAAAGAAGTGGTTGCTCGACACCCAGTGGGAATCAACTTGTGTCCTCAATAGGCGCATGGGCCTCCATTTGCGACTCAGCAAAGCGGATTCTAGACCACCAACTGCATTAGGAGCCTTCGGTTGAATCCCCCAGCTTTTCCAATATCGTGGACAGTTTACAATAAGCACTTCGAACCAAAACAAGCCTCCCTCAGTCCATGACCTGTAATCATAAAAAAGAGGTTAGAGCGCTCGTTGTAGCTACATTCCTGTTTCATATAATTGCCGTTCATTCAAAGGGTGATGACAGTTCAATAGTTACCTATCCCATATGATGAATTGCTGTGACCAATTGTTGTACGGGTCTGTGTTTTGGTCTGAGCAAAGAAGTTCCGAGACTCTGTACGTAGGGGTAGAAGGCTGGAATGGCTTCAACAGTATTTGATACCCGATCAGGGGGGTGGTAACGTGATAGCCAGCTGCCGCTGCTCCACTGTAGACTAACGGTCCCATTAACTTTGTGGCGATTCCACGAATAAGCTCAACAATAGGTCTGTGATTCAGCAGCGTTTTTCTTACCGCATCAGAACTTGTCAGCGCAACCGCAACGCGACCGCGTGCCTACCATTCATGTAATGCGCTCGTGCTTTGAAACCGAATCAGTTTTCCCACTTCTCCGCTGCCATTTCATCATAAAAAAACATACTTTGCCAAGGCTTTAATGGTTTTTATTGTCTTTTAACATTTATATTCAGATCGTGACCAGCTTTCTCACTATGAAGGTGATGTCCGCACAACAGATCAAACTATTCAAATCGATAATTGAAGAAAGCGAGAAATGATAGCGAGATTCCAATCATCCACTTCACTTCACTGACTTCGAAATCGATTATATACGATTCCATTTAATAACACTATAATAATAAACAGTCAGATGTGAAAACGAAAAAGAAAACTGAATAAAACGACGAAAAAAGAAACACTATATGAATGAATGTGGGTAAAGGCAACAACAAAAAAGGCGGCTAGATGATAAGTGATAATACGTGATGATATCAGCAGATTCGCTATCAAACCGTGTCTGGAATGTGAACAATCCTGAGCGTAACCACTTACACTTACACACACATACTATCTACACTGCTCGGAGAGAGGATATAATACCGATATATAAGGAGGCGGAGGCGCGGAAGATGAGGAGGATGAAAAGGAGGAATTGATGATGATGATGATGGATGATAAGGAGGAAAACTCATAATCATCTCTGGCTGAGATATATGTAGATCGCCATAAAGCCGTAATTATACTTATGCATTGTTATGATTGAATATGCTTATATATAATTTAAAATATAACGCATGAATCTAATAACTATTAATAAACACTGAAAACGTATAGGAAGAATAGAAGAAATCACAACCTAAAAACTACAAAATACACACACAATTCATCACATTAGGACTTAGTCCGTAGTCGATAGAAAATCCACTTACGTCACTGGCAAACTGATCAATATCGACAAGAACGCTATGGAAATTGGTGGGGAAAAAACGGAAAAACGGAAGAAAAACCGATACAAAATTATCTCGTCGTGATTTCATTGCAACAAATATTCCGCTGAAGAAGGGATTCAGGTATACGTGTTCAGGTATACGGTAGCATACAGTAGCACGTTGCAGCCACACACCGTTTCTTTTATCCCATCATGCATTTCTTTTTGAACAGCAATGAGGCGATTGCATCCACTGATTTGCGCTTTCTCTGAAAAGATACTGTTGAGGATTACGGTCATTCAATAAAAAAGGCTAGGGGTTTCCGATCAAGTAACAAATAATGATGGCCAAAGAAGTAAGGGCAGGAGCTTAAAATACATCCGTTCGGTTCCAATATATTTCCAGCCTCGTCCACTTTTCGAGGTCTTGATCAACAGTCCAACCATGTTACTCGAACCAATTCAAGGTGTCACCCGCTGGTGAAGTGACCCCGATCAAGGTTGCATAGCTTGGAGGACAAAGCCATGGTCGGGGCTAACTACTTACCGCAGATGGAGGAGCATTATCGTTGGCAATTGGACTGCTTTCCTTCGATGAGTTGGTAGGCGATGAGTCGGTTTCGGTCACCTGGAATAAGGAGGAAAATGAATTTAAGGGTCTATTAACAAAATTTGAGATGATTCTACTCAAGGCTTTACTTCGAGAAGGTTCATCATAATCATTGCCAAAAACACTTTAAAGTCCCCTCAGTTGATTTCCTTTAGAGGCAAGGGCGAACATTGACGCTTGGAATCACTTCATTCCAACCAAAGATCTTCAGAACCTCGTAAACTGCACAAACTGAGAGCTCATTCCAATGTCGGTACAATTCTGAATAGATGTCCTACACATGGCTCATCCTAGATCCTTCCGTCTCGTTGGACTTATGTCTTTCTTGCTTATGTCATCCTTTGACTTTTCACTTGGTGTTGACCGCTCCCCATAGCTTCCGGGAGTACAGCGGCTTGAAGACGTCTTCGCTCCACGATGCCCCCAAACTCGATTCCAGTCAGCGATAGCAATCCAAGCTATCTACATTGCTTCCCATGTGAGCAAAATATTCCCCGTATAAGTCGAAAAAATCCGAACAAACAGTGCTTTGAGTGTGAGCACCGAAGTGCTTGCTATTCGCGCAGCGCAGCTTCGCGCTACCAAATATGATCGAGCTGCTATGTACATAAGCAAGTAGTGAGTGTTGAGCGGCATGTATTGGCTTATTTGCTCCTCTCCTTATGAGAATGCAAACATCTCAGGGGTAAAAGTGTGAGTGTATATATGAGTGTGTCAACCCAACGACAATCCCTTACAGGTCGATCCAGACAGTCGGATTAGCGCATGAGGATATACTTAGCTTATTCGGGAAGAGAACACTGTAGCATTAACTGTATGTAGAAGCTGAAAGAAGTAAGAGGAACTGTTGCCCAAGTTTGGAAAAAATCGCGGAGTGGGATACGCCGTGGACTTGGCCAACAACCGAAATCTCGCAACTGCTTGAATTCAGCTTCGATCCCGAGTCAGACATTTGAAGTTGATGGGTGCTGAATCATCCTTCCAACAATTTTCTTATAAAGTTACCTATTCAGGGAGTACTTTACGACACTCTTTTACTGTGATCAATACTGTACCGCACGAGCGCAATAAAGTTTCCAGTATTTGCGGCACTCCTCCATAAAGGTACTGTCCGGCGATGGCAATACTAGGGCAGCCTTATCCCTAACTGTTCCCATAAATAACCAACTTTGAAGGGGAATTCCGTCCGGTACGAAGTATACGAAAGCTCCTGGAAACATAATGGACGATTGCAAGTGTCTCGGCTGGCTCCATCGGTGGTATTCCGTCCCGTCGCCTTACTGGGCACTCACCAACCGATCACGACATCCTGCGACCTTGTGCGGGCGAACGATTAGGCTCTGAGTGGGCCATATCCATCGGAAGAAAGATTGCAAGCTAAATGCCAATGAGGCTGGTACGGTCCGAGGCAGAATTGTAAGAAAGGACATTGTCCAAAGCTCTTGACTCGCAGATGTGCAATTAGCCGTGTCTGCTACATCTTCGCAATTTAATTGGTATTTCCAGTAATCCACCTCACGGAATAACTTCTGCCTATCGGTTAAGCTCAACTTTAGCGCCAGCCGATAACAAGCTTTAGCCCTGGCGGTTAGGCAGACCGGCAAGCCCAACTCCCACGTACATTCCATATTTGTCATACCTAACTAATTCATTAAATCCAACTAAGTTGGGTAAATCAATATAGTTTGGTTAAGACCTGTTCCGAGATCTGCCAAAAACTGGTCGTCATAGGCTCTGAGGCCAAGACCTAACTAACGTTCAAAACGAATTGCAGCTTCAAAAAGGTCAACAAGTAGGCCTCTGATTGAAAGACCTGGGTGCACTAGAACAGAGTGCCAGTCTCGTCGTTAAAGTGGCAGCTTTCTCTCGAGAAAACGGTTTCCGAATCAAGTTAAAATCATAGGCTCCGTTCTTGCATGTCCCTCAAAGCCTTTTCTGCTTCTTAATGAAACCGCTGCGAAATGATTACGAATTTTTTGTAATTATCACGGGCGAAGCACACGATTTGCTTTTTTTCGTAATGCAAGAAAGAAGTGTGACGGTAATACCATGCCCAGGCACGTAGTTTCTCTTAACAGCTACTCATCAGTGAGTTACTCCTTATTACTTTCGATAGGGAGACCGTACTATTCATCACCTCCAAAGCCAACGGTACACACAGATCATGGCCTCATTCGCCATAGACTGCGAAGGATGCCAGAGCCTGAGCGCTTCTCAGTCTTTGAAGAATATTTATGCAGTAGCTCAAGCCAGCATAGAATCCCTGTCAGCATATTTGTTTGGTTTGGCCTGGAAGGAGGCCTAAGCTTCTTGATAAACCTCACTATGTTCTTCTATAAAACCGCTACCATTACTCTGATTAACCCTGCTTTCGTCGATTAAAGTCGGAGCACAAGCTATGACTATCTAGCCAGTGATTTCCTAGCCTCGAAAGGGCGAAACTGCACTTAACCATGAAAGACTCACCTCTTCTCCTGATGCAATGCCAGATTCCGGTCCGCTCAACACCACATCGTTTTCCGTCTTCACATTTAACACAGAAAATTCGATGTTGTTGTTGTTGATGAGATTCTTGTTCTGATTGTTTGTCTCCTCATCGATGGAAGTTGAGGGGGCCATCTGGAACATAGATTTGTGCTAGCTACATAGATCATCATTCGCCCAGAGCTACTCTCTTCCGCTAAGTTCATAGATTCTCCCCAAACCACGATACAGGGAATCTGCTGGCTATCGTCTCACCCTCAATCCAAGGTGGTCGCAGATGTAAAAAAAACCAGAGCGATATTGCCAGATGTGACCCTAGAGTCAACCGCTAAAATCGTACCCCTGATTAATCTCACCCGGAGCTCAGAAATGCTCCACACCCTAAAATAAGGGTTATGTGTATATGCCCTCTAAGAGTTCCATATTTCTCCTTATCTCCATAGATTGCACAAGGTAGGAAAGCTCCGGCTCACCTCAGCGTCTCCAGCTGCATGAAGGTGGTGTAGCAATGGAAGAAGGGTTGGATTATTGAGTACGAATGCATTCAGCCAATCCGCTGACACCGTTACCTGGGAAGGAGACTGCGACTGTGCCTGTAACTAAACAAAAAGGTTTGTTTCCCTGTTGGGCCTCTAGAAGCACTCTAGAACTCACGCTCATCAGTTGTCCAAAAAGCAGTTGTGCAGCATTGGGCTTATCGTCCTTCTTTCGTGGAGCACATTTTGGGGCTGCCGGTCTTGGGGAGCCATGCTCTTCACCACGGAGTTCAGCTTGTGACAACGAGCCTAAAAGGAGCGTATGAATCAGTTCGTTATCAGAGGAGTCCAACATTCCAGGAATACCTGGCGGTCTGCTGCTGATCGCTATGGCCTTGGCCTCTCCCGGATGTCCAGTGCGCATCATGCTGTTGTTATGGGCATGCAACTCCTACATTTACAGTATTTACAAAAGGATCTGTTGAAAGGTATGAAAGAGTATTAAAGCAGGGATTACCTTTTTATCGGGGAAAGTCCAATTGCAGCACCCACAAGTAAAGACTCGATTTATGGCGTGATGAACGCCCATATGGCGGCGCACTGTCTCATGAGCTGAAACCATGTCTTGAAAATCTGTTAAATTCAAGGTCTTCGTAGAGCAAAAAATCGACCTGGAATTTTTGCATCGCACAATTGACAATGCTGATCATCTCCGTGAAAATTGAGACGATGTCGATTAAGTGATGCCGCATGACAGAAAGTTTTGCCACAATGACCACAGAGAAACTCGCCTGAAAATGGGCGGAGAATTCACAACCACTTTTGTTTTTGATGTCTTTCGAATTTCTAACACTTCTTATAACTCAAACAAACGAATGCGATGGCAAGCTGAGTCCGTATTCCCACATGAATTAGCAGCCGCAGCCCTTGGCTAATATAAGGGAGTCAGGAAGTAGAAGAAACGTGCAACCGTATGGTGAGATTAAGCCATGCTTCAGCCACAGCGAGTGAATAAGGCTATAAGTGTGTTGGATGCAATATGTATAGAACATTCGCTACTGCAGCAGCAAGAGAGCTGACTGAATTCATAGTTGAGTTTTATTACATCAAGAGTCACCCAAGTGAGCATTGGAATTGCCTGGGAAGATGAGAACTTCAGTCAGAACAACGAGAATCCTGTTTAGATGCAGACTGTCTCTCCTTGAGCCGAACCTAACCATTTTCCACGATGTAATGGAGTAAGGGACGGTTTGCACAAAGGATGACCGCAATGAATAGACAGCATGGGTGTGAGAAGCCAGTAATTGCTGCTCATAGCTCAGAATCCTTTGGATTATATTCGGATTCGGAACTTCAGTGAAAAACAACAGTTACCCTCAGAAAATCTATCAAATAGTCAATTAAGCGGTCAGTTCGGCTCATCTCATCCCTATCCCGACTGTTAATCCCGCACTTGGCATGGTATCATCAAGTGTGACCTTCCTCGGCTATCTAGAGAATCTTGCGCCATCACCAGCCATTCTTTTCATCCCTTCTCTAATTATACCACTTGCTCTCAGGGAGGAGAAAAAGCAGCGGACGAGCTTCACAGACATTTAGTACTCCGACCATGGAAAGAGAGAGATCTGATGCTTCACACAGTACACGAACTGTATTTGTTAAACTTCCTAGTAAGCTGTACATTAGAGCGATCTGCCCTTTGATGGCTTGTGGTCTATAAAGGGAACAAAGTTGGCATCAGCGATAGCTCTATGGGTGCACCTCTTATTAGTGCTCTGTGCGTCCCTTGGACAGCTGAGCTTTTCAGCAGCTGTTATTCGGGAACCTCACATATGAAGGGTACTGTAGTATGACAAGCCTTTGGCATGTTTCTGAAATCGAAAAGGCTCATGTGTTGTGCAGCATGTCCTCTTAGAACTGGTTTACAGTACGCTTGACAGACGACCTGTAGGTCGTAGTGACATGAAGGCTAGAACCACGAAGCGAATGTGCACTTTGGGTCTTTCGGCTCCATTACCATGAAATAGCGACCGACCAAATACTCATCGATTACCCTATCAGATTGTTGACATCAGCCCCTACCCTGTTGAGTACTTCAAGCTTGGTGTACCCAGTAGACGTAACCAAAGATCCCCATGCTGTTGAAGTAATCTATTTGTCAGATTGACTACGGTAGAAGTTGAAGGTCAGTAAACATTTTAGCCGTTCCCGCAGTATGAATGTGCGTGCTATCAGAATTTCTGCCATGGGTAGCAGCAAACTTGTCCCAGCGCTTTCCGTAAATTTATAGAACCAGTTCGGCCAGCTGTCGTCGATTTCAGAACATGCTGGCAGGTATGGGGAGAAAATGGTTCCGTCAATACTTTCCATTGCGCTTTGAAAGTTTTTTTATCGGCCTAAAAAGCTCTTCAGCAAAAGTTTTCAAGAGAAACCCAGAGACAACGCTGCCTAATGAAAATCTGTCCATTATGAAGTGCAGAAACTGAAGGTAATTGTTAGAATTCTACAGTAAACTTCGTCTGGTCTTTAGGGATTCCTTCAGAACCCCGAACCCTCCCTATGGCCTTGCTAATGGAAGTTGGTTTCCCATGATCATGCTTTTCGGGCCGGAATAGAGTGGTTAGGGTGACCCCAGGAAGCCATTAGGGGCCGATGGTGCTTGGTCAGCATTGCGATAAATTCCCAGCATGACACGGGGCCAAACTTCTACTACCTTACAGTACCTAGTTCAATGAGATGGCGCGCAGCTCTCATGCATCTGCCAATCGAGCAATCGATCGACTCGCGCATGGCGAGGAGGTAATTGTCGAGTCAAAAAGCCGATTTCGTTCAGTGACAACGCTTTTTACATCCCGCAAAAGCATAAGCCTTGTTCGGGGCCATTTATCGAAGCCTTCCGGGAGCCAACAACAACCAACGAATACGTCGAGCACAGCTAATGGCCGAGAAAATTAGTTCCCTTCTATTGTGAACGACGAAGACGTCATATGGAATCAAAAGCGAAGATGAGACGAGCGGAGAGGGGGAGAAATTTCGTAACCAGTTGAGACAGCCATCAGCTGAACCGGGAGCGATTTTCAAGTGGGAACTAAACGACCTGCTCTTGGGAACTTCTGGTCAATAGAACTTCAATTTCGCGACCTATGGGTTTTCCACTACAGTAACACTTCTTCAAGGCTAATCTTCAAAGGACTGCAGAAAACCGCTTCCATCAGAATAAAAAAAGTCTTTTCAGACGACTACGCACCGTAAAAATGAGAGGTTTTCAAGTTCAGGGCCAAAAATCCTAGAATGTCTGAAATCCATGTAAAGGCATCCTGAGCTCAATTTGCCAACTTCACTGCTCTTCTAAATGGGAAATCATTTGGGGATATTTGACCCTTTTGCAAGCCTACAAAATGATCACCTGCTGCGCCCAGAATCTACTTGTAGCAATGGTCAATGGTCCGACATCGCTGCGGTAAAGTGTGTTTGAGTACCTTCTGTTTGCTGCATGTTCCACTATAGGCAGCTGGTTCAACACCTTCACACTACCCCCCTACATGATATGTGGGAGGAGCCCTTGAAAACAGGAGTTCCTCAAGTGAAGCGCTGTCCCGAGGGGTCATAGGAATCAAAGTGAGAGAATGGTTGCGTCACCTAGGCGATTTTTCAAGGTCAGGATTCCATTTAGAGGAGCACAAGCGGACGAACTTTGAAATTCAAATACTAATCCTCTTGGCACGACGCCAAACTTTTACCCAGCAACTTCCTCTTACCACAATTACCCAATGCAGAACCTTTCAACCCAGTATCATCACTGTCTTATACAAAACTAGTCTGAAAAGATTCAATGGCAGTTCCTCACTCCAGATTCTCTCAGACTCTACGACGGAGGAAGTCGTATTTGCACCATCTCGAATGAGGTGTTAGTTTACCACACTACTGCCTTCTACTGGGTGGACACCTGAGGAAGACCCTAATAGCCCAGCAGCTCTAGCCTGAGAGACGCCTTCGGGGAAATGGAAGGGGTTTCGATTTCACCTTAAGATCAAGCCGTCTGATCTTGCACGAAATCGAAGTAACCGAAATTTCTGGAACAATCGGTCACTACCCAACAAAACTTGGGCACACTGAAGATAGGGTAAACTCTGAGATTCTTTTTGAGTGACGGACATCCGCTAAAGCTTTTTCCTTCCGGATCGGGGTTCAAAGTAATCTATGTGAGAGTGAAAAAACTCCTTGTGACCCCGCCCAATCGAACAACTGCAACTGCTAATAAGCCGTCTGTGTGTATGTATGATGCTGGTGGCCAGACAGCAAACAAAAAACTGCTCAAACACACTCCACGACACTATGGGACCTGCTACTGTTTCTGTTTGTATTGCATGAACTATCCCTTATCATCGTGTGGTTTACTTTTCCTCGTGATTCCCAGAAGGGAATTTCGGTATTGGTAAGTGAGGGTGATGGGCGTAATGGATAGATGGCACCTCCGCCACAAAGGTAATTAGCATCTGAGAACGTGGACGTGAGAACAAAGCCTAGGCAGCTTAAGCCGACACGAACCACAGCGTTCGGCGAGGAATTCCTTAGAAGGACGTGCATAGGTAAGAGACTGTCCTTTGCTCTGTGAACTCAGTCAAACTAGTGGATGATTGTTTTCTGTTGGGTATCAACTCTTTCGGTTACCTACAAACTATCCCTCCACTTTGTCACGATTCATACAACAAGCAAGCTCCCTAAAAAGATCCGTCATAGTCGCGTAAACCTGCCACGACGGCGCATCTTTACCAGTAAGGCGTTTCAAGCGAGAAACGTGAGTGGAGCAGCATAAATGGGGGGAAAGGAAAGAGAGAGATCGAGAAATCAAAAGCGGCAGAAAAAGGGCTGCCACCTAAGGAGGGCAGCCTGAGAGGGGCAGAGAAAACGACGACGAGAATTAGAGGCAGAAGAGGCCTTTATGAGGGCGGTGAAAACAGGCGTAGTGCATGATGGGGCAGGAACATGACGCTGAAAACTGGGAGAAAACAAGGCTCGTCGGGCATCGAAAGGACTGACTGACTGCTTTGCTACCGGTACGGCCGCGATTGATTTACTGCGCAGCACATGTGATACGTGGTAGTGTCACTGAAGCGGTAGAGCTTACCTTTCAAATCAGGTCGCTTAAGATCGGCTTCAGGTCTATACGGCATAATCTTGGCACCTGAAATTTTGTATAGTTAAGCTCTATAAGAATCAGATTCACATCGCTTTGCGGTGGAGGCATACAGAGGACAAAGTTTTCAGAAGTAGGCTTCAGTCATGGAATAAGAAGCTCTATGTGAACGAAATTTTCCTGGATGGGCTCCAAGAGATGACTGATAAGAGAGATGACCAACAAATGAGGTCATTTAATTATAGCCGGGAGTGAATATGAAAAACTAAGGTCAGGGATACGATAGATTGACATAAATGGAGAGCCGAAGCATGTAGCAGCCTCTCAGCGGCTGGCTGCTGGCTGGCTGGCTGGCTAGAAAAGGGTCAAACTAGCAGCGGACGCGCTTGGTGGTAATTCGTCCCCCCTCCCCCACCATCACCCAACAACCCGCAACCGATTTACAGTGTAAGCTCGATCAATGCCCATAATGGGTTGCCTAACAGTGACAGTGCATAATCATTAGAGAGCGGAAGTAGTAATGCACATCATCGACATACATGAAACCGAACATGAGTTCTACTAGAGTGGTTCTCGATCAGAATGGAAGCAGGACGTGAAGAAGAAGCGTCGGACGACCACATACATCGCCATCAACTGCTTTCTAGTAGACAGCGAGGAAAACAGGCGCTAACTGTAATTTCGTCACATGATTGCCACAGCAACACAAGACGCCAATCGGCTTTTCAAGTCCTACAGATCAATTTCCGACGTCTCGTCCATCGCCAAGATCAATGAGATGATCTGAGGCTGATTATCGTGATATTCAATAGGACAGGTGTGGTTCACAATCCCTACGACGTCTCAAGAACGAGGGGCAGAGGTGGCTGTGTTGTCGGTCGAATCGATGACTGGTTACATTTGGCAGGTCGAGCTTTTACCTATGACTCGCAGGTATCGACCGCCGCACCTGTGCCTGACCTTGATGAAACGAGAGAGACAGAATGAGAGAGCACGAGACGATAGTCGTCCCGAGTTGGAGATACCAATAGAGTGTGTGAATCCATCATTAAGAAAAGCATGCAATCCACCTGGACAGCAGCCTAATCACGGCTCTAAGAGTTCCAAGCGCTTCCTGCGCTCCCGATCGATCTCGGTCTGTCACATCCATCAATGACCTCCAAGTTTTCGATGGAGCTCACCGTAAGCAGGTGTCAGCACACTACGAAACCCTGAATATGAGCACTATTCCCATTTAACGTGGACTTGAAGCCCACAGAAGAGGTGGCGAGGCACCGTTGGCTGATTGGAACCGTCCATGATAAGTGAGGCATTGATCGTAGAGGTTGTCCAGTGGTCTTGATAATCGGTCCCCCTCAAATCTCCATCATATCATCGACGTTTGTTTTTCGTACCGAACTAGGAAGGTCATTTCTCGTGGCGGCGTGTTCTCGGGCTTATGCAGACTTCTTCTACGAGCCCACTAATCGCTTGCTACAGCAATCTTCTTCAGATACGGGTCACATTGTACGAAATTCCGCGAAAAGGAGCTTAAAAACCGGAAAACCAGCGCACAACAGCCGGCAAAAATCAGAATGGAAAAGAATGTGATTGGAAAAGTTATAAAAGAGAAAGAGCACTGTAGAATTGGATGATTCTATTGTTAAATATGCTGTAAAGAGAGCGATACCAGTACTGTGAGCGATTAAACGAACTGTACGAGTAGAACAAGTGACAGCTGTGCATGTGTATGTGTGTGTATGTGTATGTGTTGGTATGGGAAGAGAAGTTGTTAGTAGCAGCGACGAGGGGGTGGCGATGTGCACAGGCGGCCGGCCATTCCGTAATTGGGTGGGGGTCGGGCGACAAAAGCTGCTGCGCGCTCTCCCTTCTCTCGAGGTCAAAGCTGTATTGTACTATCTGATCGATCTACGGGGCTCTATCTTCCCGACTCCAATGTCGTCATACCATTTCCTTACTGGTATGCAACCTTCACAGGCTATGAGCAACATGAAAAAAGCCTACAAACAATGCGATTAGTTGACGTCTGTGTGGGCGCGCCACTGTGAGAAACAGCTCCCGTTGCTCGCTGCTAATCGGGCAACAACGTTTGTTCTACCATAGGACGCTCAACGGGGCCCAAATCCATGGCATACTTATCCGGCTGCCGTATGATGTTTTGAGGGGAAAGCTTCCTGCATTGAAATAACCGGCCCACACGCATAATACTGAAAAGCCGATTATTCCGCTTAAGCCGAACAAACAGCATAGACATTTCATCAGAGGTTGATGATTTCTCCTGTAATGTACTGGGCAGCCCCGATTGTTCACAAAACGATTTCCAGCTAGCAGCAGCTCACCGGGGTCATTCGCTTGATTTCAAATTCGGCTGCACTTTTCTAAAACGGCCTTCACACAGGGGACAACCAGACAGACACGGACAACCATGGAGGATACTTGTAGATAAGATTGTGCGACCATGGCGGTGATCGTATTTGATGCTTCTGAACTTTGGCAGTCGGATCGGCTAAGACACTTCAAGGACGAGGTGATGCTGTAGGTGGGAGAGGAACAGATCGAGAGGAGGGTTGAGTGCTTACCCAAGCGGTAAGCTGAAACAAAAACGGTAACTGAGTAGGTTAGCGATATGGTAGCCGTTAGTGACAGATTGAATGCGATGGAAAGCATGGAAGGTCGCGAGTTGAAAGCCCTCGATGAGGGTTTGCGGTCAAGGACACCAACCCCCCACACACAGCAGCAGAAAGGGACTGTGCGCCCAGCACACATCATCAGCGCAGCCGACGAAATGCAGCCCGACCCCACTTATAGCCAACTGCTGAATACAGCCTACTACTGTACTGTATGCATGGTGGCGGCGAGAGATAGAGGGGAGACAGAGAGAGATGGCTGGCAGTTAATTATGCGCTCATGCTCATACTCCAAACAGCTCAACATCTCAAGTATGAGCACCGGGAAGCAGGGGTGACTAAGTAAATACATTAACGGGTCATTAGGTATGCAACTGAAACCAATTATGAAAACTCAAGAAGGTTAGAGGAGTTGAACGTCCCAAAGTCTTGAAGTTAGGTCTGGAGAGATAGGTTTTTTCCGCTGTTGCTCCGAAGACGAAGTTCTGTAGCATCTGGCAGAACTCTTGGAAGAACTATCGCCCATATCAAGGATACAGTTCGAATATGGAAACCCATATTGAATACGAGAAACCCGAGTTACCTATTTTTCAGACTGAGACTATTCAGAATCAACTGGCTCCACATTTTCTCTCCTATTTCAAAGGATATCCGATTTTGCTCCCACCCCATACAAAAGGTTTAAGGTTGAGTCAATTGGGCGAATTATCTCGGATTAGAGGAGTGTTGGCTTCAAAGGAAACCTGTGACACAGTGGCTCCCATAGTGATCTTATCCAATTAGGCAGTAAGAGGGTTATTGATTTTTACCCAACTAATCTTGAATTTTTGCTTTCCAAGTAATCTCAAATAATGGTTTAGACTAGGTGAGCTGAGGATTCATGCCCCGCTACCCGATATTGATTTTATCAGTGATCAATATAGGCTGATAAGTAATGGGTGATAAGCGCGCTACCTACCGTCGTATAAGAGGGAGAGTTAATGGCTGATAGGGTTGATTTGGGTCGCTATAGAGATTTGGAATGGGGCAGTAATGCATTACAACTCAAACAACTACTGTATAACGAAGTGGAGGTAAAGGTATCAGCCTTATGACTTTACCCCATCACTGGCAGGATAACTTCTGAATGGAGATAGAGGATGCTATCACTCGATAAGTATCACCGAATACTCTCCTGAATTCCTCCTTATCAGTACTGGGAAGGCCAGAGTAGAGATGGTTGAGCTTTACCATTAAAAATCACATTTACAAGAATAAAGTAATGATGATATCAGGAGATAAGAGCATATTTAAATTCAGAGAGAGAGTACGATAAAGAAAAATTGGCTTGAGTACTTATCAATACAAATTCTAAGGTCAACCATGATTTCACTGTTGTTCTCATTTATCATGAGCGGTTACAGCGGCGTTTCTCCATAGTGCGATGACCGTTCCCTTTAGAGAACAACTTTGTAAATGGCATTTCTTTTCACATTTAAAAATGTAAGTAGAAGTTTTAGTAGTAGATAGGTTTAGATGGATAGAACGAAAGAACCGCATAGGGTAGCTGAAGCCGCGATAGTATTGCATCGGTATCCTGGAGTATAGCCAGCCCTGAGAGCGATCTCACCTATGTAACGGGAAAGCCACAAATAGCCACTCCTTCTTTTTACGTGATTTTTGGGTAATTTGTAGCCGCCGAAAAAAATTAGCTATGAATCCATGGAAAAGAGCGCACTATGTTTTAGTTGTGGCTAAGAAGAAGATGCCCTCACGCACGCAGTGGGAACCCAGCAGGAAAGTGTGACCTTGAATCAGCTGTAGACAAAAAAAAAACAAAAAAAAAAGAAAAAAGTGAAGAAAAGCGTGTAGAAGAGTGAAGGAGTGCAGTCGAAGGAAAGGTAAATAGTTATACAGTTTGCTGGAGATGTCGCTGTAGATAAGAACGTAGTAATGGGTACAAGCTTCTCCCTACACCAACACAGTAACGGGGCGGGGCCAGGAAGAGAGGGGAGAGGGAGGGAAAGGTTAACTCCATGGTCCACTATGGTGAAGAAAATGGCGTCCCGACCACTTTTCCGCACAGTCCTATCATGAGTATAAAGAGGCATCTGAGATGAGGGTGCGAGACTTTGAGGATGACCTCTCGCCATAGGCAAGCTCGAGGTTCGGAACGTCTCTGAACGGCCCTGACGGACTAATTTGACCATAGCATCATTCACAGCTATTCTCATACTTTGTAGTTGATGGCCGTAAGCCTAAGCCGAAGCCTAAAAGTCAGCATTTAACGCGGCTTGCCAGTGAGCCCAAGAAAATATTAAATACATGGCGTATACAAAAGAGAACGATCAATATGGGAAGCCTTATCTATCAACCTTGATCCGTCATTCGGGAACGGGTACAAGATGGAGTTGCACTACTTTGAAGCAATGGATCGAAG